TTTATCTAACTGTTGAAAGTAATTTCTTAGGTCACTTGGTTTTGCTCCTTACACTGCAAAGGAACAAAACAATCACTCTGAAAAAGAAAACAGAACATTAAGTTTAAGACAGCTTACAAGCCTCTAAAATATATAGTGATGAAGCAGGATTATTTAAACAACTGACCTTTCTAACACATGTCCTCAAGGTTTAACTTTCATACCTAATCAAAGTGTGATATAAAAACCATCACTAGTGTCTGTAAGTGTCAAACAAATGGCTTTATATCATATTTCCTTAAAAACTTTTAAGAATTTTTGAAAATTTGAATTGAGAATAAGGATTATATATAAACAAGCAATTATCATTAGTTTATTGCAAGCAATCCATAAGTCCCCCTACCAGGGTTAGAACCCCATCAACATTCTGAAGGGCCATTCATTAATGTTTCAATTTTTCTCTATTTTAAGTAAATTTGTTGGAAAAGTTCTTTAAAAGTGATCACAGGAAACAGTTTTTATGAACAAGACAGACAGACGGACTGAAGGACACTCTAAGTTAATATTTGAAACATCCCTGTTTACCAAAATATAACATTTTAAAAGAAAAATTCTTAAACAGGAGATAACTCTTGAATTAAAGATGCAATTTCATAAAAATTTTCAGCTCTTTTTGACAAATCACAAATATTGTTATATTTGCCATGTTTTAAGCCTATTTGTTGCCAAGGCAACTGATATTTTTTCAAAATAGGAAGAACAGATAAGACATGCGTAATCTCAAGACTGTCATCTACCCATATGTCAAGTTTCATAAAAATATTTCCAGTACTTTTTGAGTTATCACTGGATTCAGTTTATGTGTAAAATTTGCCATATTTTCAGTCTATGTGTTGCCATAGCAACCAGAATTTTCAACATAGGAAGAAAAGAAAAAGATGTGCATAATCTCAAGACTGCCATCTACCCATATGTCAAGTTTCATAAAAATATTTCCAGTACTTTTTGCTTTATCACTGGATCCAGTTTATGTATGTGTTGCCATAGCAACCAGAATTTTCAACATAGGAAGAAAAGAAAAAAACGTGCATAATCTCAAGACTGCCATCTACCCATATGTCAAGTTTCATAAAAATATTTCCAGTACTTTTTGCTTTATCACTGGATCCAGTTTATGTGTAAAATTTGCCATATTTTCAGCCTATTTATTGCCATAGCAACCAGAATTTTCAACATAGGAAGAAAAGAAAAAAACATGCATAATCGCAAGACTGTCATCTACCCATATGTCAAGTTTCATAAAAATATTTCCAGTACTTTTTGCGTTATCACTGGATCCAGTTTATGTGTAAAATTTGCTATATTTTCAGCCTATTTGTTGCCATAGCAACCAGAATTTTCAACATAGGAAGAAAAGAAAAAGACATGCATAATCTCCATACTGCCATCTATCCATATACCAAGTTTCATAAAAATATTTTCAGTACTTTTCAAGTTATCGCGGGATCCAGTTTTGTGGACGGACGGACTGACAGACGGACAGACAGAGGGTAAACCTAAAGTCCCCTCCGGTAAACCGGTAGGGGACTAATTAGTCTACCAGCAGATTTTTTTAATGAACAGTGCACAAGTTAATGAAATGTCCAACTCTACATTTTGGAATTACTGAGAATGTGTCTCTGTATTGAAGACGTTCAGGACATTTTCTTTTTTAAACAAAATTTCACCTGTTCAATTGCAAAGGTATCTTTTTCCTTATCCAGTTCTTGCCTGTTTTCATTGCAAAATTATCTCAAACTTTTTGAAACAAAAAGCTGCAGTTCTTGTATTGCATTCAACTGCATAACAAACAAGAAGGCAAGATGGCCCTACATTGCTCACCTGACCATCGAACTCATCTGAACAATTACCTAGACAAGCATTCTGACCAAATTAATGACAGGTGAGTCAAAAAATGTGACCACAAGAGTGTTAACAAGGATTATCAATATTTGAGCAGTGTGACCTAGTTTTTAACCCGAGGTGACCCATACTGGAACTTGACCTAAAAATCATCAAAACAAACTTTCAGACTAATTTCCATGATATTTGGATTTAAAACAGTAAGCCACTAGAGTATTAAGGTTTTTCTATTTTTAGCTCCTGTTCATCCAAGATGACCCATGTTGGAACTCATCCGAGCAATTACCTAGACAAGCATCCTGACCAAGTTTGATGATGATTGAGTCAAAAATGTGACCACTAGTGTCAACAAGGTTTTTCTATTTTTAGCTCCTGTGACCTAGTTTTTCATCCAAGATGACCCATGTTCGAACTCATCCGAGCTATTACCTAGGCAAGCTTCCTGACCAAGTTTGATGATGATTGAGTAAAAAATGTGACCGCTTTAGTGTTAACCAACAAGTGTGGACGGCCAACGGACATTCAACGATCCTAAAAGCTCTTCCTGAACTAGCTCAGGAGAGCTAAAAAGTCAATTTAAAACCAAAAAGCTTGGACACAACTCTCTCTGCTTCTTGTGCATAATTCAACTATAGTGCACAGTTCAAGTGAACATTTACATACAGTCAACTATCGTTATCTCGACATCGCTTTTCTCGATATTTCGTTATCTCGATGAAATTTTTAAAGTCCCGATTTTCTTCCTTCTTTATCTATATTGGAAATATTTGTTTATCTCGATATTTCTATTTCGATATTTTCAGTATCTCGATGTAAAATTTCAGCCCCAACAGTTATTTTCACACTATTATCCTTTGTTTATCTCGACTTCGTCTGTTCCCTTCAGACGTGTGAAAAACACAATCTAGACGATAATTGCTCAATTAATAGCGCGTGTCATAATGACGATTATGTTTGTAACAAGTTTAGCTGTTTTTATAAAAGTTAATCTATTTAGCGTGTTGATTGACTTATGTCCACAATGAGTGAATTTTACATTCTTTTTTAATATTCGAACACTGTATCAATTCATTATGACTTTAAATGTAAATGAAAAAGTGAAAGTATAGAAACGCTATCATTGCAATATTGTTTCACAACATCACCACCAAATCAATCAGCGGTGGAACAATCTCGAGAAAAACCCGATAAATAACCCGGAAGGATATCCGGATCAACCATATCCGATTCACTATATTGGTGTATTACTGAGTAAACCTCACGATGTGTTTTTATCACAGACACTCGTATTTCCGCTGGTAAACATCCGCTTATGTCACTTTGTTAAATATTGACTAGGCCTATGAAAACAAGACATGGGGACATTATAGTTTATTTGACATAAGGTATGCACATGTCTTTTGTAAAAATCAGTTTCGCCTTGTACTAACCCTAATATGTTTATCTCGACATTTCGTTATCTCGATATTTTTTTGACGGTCCCAATGACTTCGAGATAACGAGAGTCGACTGTAATCTGTTTTTTGTTTTTGTTTTGGGTTTTACGTCACATTGACACAGTATAGGTCATATCGCGACGTTCCAGCTTTACTGGTGGAGGAAGACCTCAGGTGCCCTTCCGTGCATTATTTCAGGCACAAACAGGCACCTGAGTAGAACCACCGACGTTCCGTAAGCTAACATAATCTGTTAAAAATAAAGTTATTCTTACAGGCAATATAGATCTTCCTTCTGAAATAATGAGGGCCGAGATGTTGGATGGAAAGTCTTGTCTGTGAAATTCAAAATCATATTCCACTTTTTGCCAGTTTATAACATTTCCAAGTGATTGTATATTTTTCACACCTGAAAATTAATAAAATACAATTTTGACCCATAAAGATGAAACTTCAAGTGATACCTTAAACTTGTTCTCAAAACTTACCAGAAACATGGTTTATTTTGTTCTCAAAACTTTTTAAGAAACATTATTTATCTTGTTCTCAAAACTTTATCAGAAACATTATTTATCTTGTTCTCAAAACTTGATCAGAAACATTATTATCTTGTTCTCAAAACTTTATCAGAAACATTATTTATCTTGTTCTCAAAACTTTATCAGAAACATTATTTATACTGTTCTCAAAACTTTATCAGAAACATTATTTATCTTGTTCTCAAAACTTTATCAGAAACATTATTTATCTTGTTTTCAAAACTTTATCAGAAACATCATTTATACTGTTCTCAAACTTATCAGAAACATTATTTATACTGTTCTCAAAACTTTATCAGAAACATCATTTATACTGTTCTCAAACTTTATCAGAAACATTATTTATACTGTTCTCAAACTTTATCAGAAACATTATTTATCTTGTTCTCAAAACTTTATCAGAAACATTATTTATACTGTTCTCAAAACTTTATCAGAAACATTATTTATCTTGTTCTCAAAACTTTATCAGAAACATTATTTATCTTGTTTTCAAAACTTTATCAGAAACATCATTTATACTGTTCTCAAAACTTTATCAGAAACATTATTTATACTGTTCTCAAAACTTTATCAGAAACATTATTTATCTTGTTCTCAAAACTTTATCAGAAACATTATTTATACTGTTCTCAAAACTTTATCAGAAACATTATTTATCTTGTTCTCAAAACTTTATCAGAAACATTATTTATACTGTTCTCAAAACTTTATCAGAAACATTATTTATCTTGTTTTCAAAACTTTACCAGAAACCTTCTTTTAAGTTCAGAATAGCTATTATTCAGTCAAAATTCATGCAACAGTTCTGGGTCATGGAAAAAACATGATTTGCATGCAAAATGAGATTTAAAAAAAAAAAAAAAAAACTAAACAAAAAACAGTCAGAAATTATTAAAATTCAGCCAAAAGCCATGTATAAACTAAGGCCTTAGGACTGTGACCTAATAAAGTATTGGAGAAATGTAAAATATTTCAAGAGAATACATTCAGTAGATCCAGAGATTCATCTTGCAGACAAAACTTAACATAGGGTTTCAAGTCGGTAAAAATCAGTTCTTCATTCATAGGCTTTGGATAATAATCTTCAACTATAATCTCACAGACACATGTGAAGTTGAAATCCAATGATGATCAACAAGAAACAAAACAGTGGTTAATGACATTTAAAATAACATTAAATATTTCACAGATCACTGAATATGTCACAGACACTGAAACATGGGAAGATACAATAGTCCCATTATTTTTCCAAAAAGTGAAAATAAAAAATTACCATTTACATCGAGCTGTCCTGGTTCAAGAGCAATTTCATTTACAGTCATATTGGTATGTTCTGCTAGCTGTAAAATACCAGAGCGCAGCCTGTTTGCAGTGTAATCTTTCTTTGGTGAGAATGGAAGTTTGTTCATGTTGTCCAGAGACATGTGCAGTAAATGAGACTGTAAAATAAATAATAATTGTAAGTTATGGGCAGTTACCAATACATCCAAAATGTGACAATATCTGAATGGGAGTAATGGATTATTTTATTTGTTTGTTTGTTTGTTAACTTTGAGAATATCCCGCAAGTCGGTGATTTACCAGTAGTTAAATCACGCATGCACTACACGCACAAGTCAATACCCCGTTTTTTCAAATGGCACAAGTGATTCCAAAAAATAAGATGAGTAACACAAAGAATGATCTCATGTGTTGATAATAATAGCCAATTTAGCAGTTGTATTGAGGGGTGATTGACCAGTTTGTTCCCTGTATGTGTCACAGATATTTTGTAGCTACTGTGAAGCAAGACACACAAATATCATAAACAGGGAAAACTAGAAATGTGTCCATAGGACACGGATGCCCCCACACGCCACTGTTCTGTCAATCTTATGACTCTAGGTCAAATATTTTTTGGACTACATGTGCCACAAGTTGAAAACTAAAAATCAACAAAGGGCCATAATTCTGTTAAATTTGGTCGCAGCAAAAATTCCTTCCTTTACTACCATCTACACATTAAGGTTGTTCATCCCTGGAAGTTTAAGCAAAATCTGCCATCCAGTTTAAGAGGAGTTGCGTTCACAAAATTTCTACATAGTATATAGTGAAAAAATCAACAAAGGGCCATAATTCTGTTAAATTTGGTCGCAGCAAAAATTCCTTCCTTTACTACCATCTACACATTAAGGTTGTTCATCCCTGGAAGTTTAAGCAAAATCTGCCATCCGGTTAAAGAGGAGTTGCGTTCACAAAATTTCTACATATTAGTATATAGTGAAAAAATCAACAAAGGGCCATAATTCTGTTAAATTTGGTCGCAGCAAAAATTCCTTCCTTTACTGCCATCTACACATTAAGGTTGTTCATCCCTGGAAGTTTAAGCAAAATCTGCCATCCGGTTTAAGAGGAGTTGCGTTCACAAAATTTCTACATAGTATATAGTGAAAAAATCAACAAAGGGCCATAATTCTGTTAAATTTGGTTGCAGCAAAAATTCCTTCCTTTACTACCATCTACACATTAAGGTTGTTCATCCCTGGAAGTTTAAGCAAAATCTGCCATCCGGTTTAAGAGGAGTTTCGTTCACAAGATTTCGGGACGTACGGACAGACGGACGGACAGACGTACGGACACTCGGACGGACAAGTGCAACGCTATATGCTCCCACTCTGTGGGGGCATAAAAACATTTTTAAATAAAGTTGGAATAAATTACACCAGCAGTTTTTAAGCAGTAGTCTGGGCAGGTATTGAGACAAACGGACGGACAGACGATGGAGAAGTGATCCCTATATGTCCACAAAAATATAAAGAAGCTTGAAACTCTGGTAATTCTATTTTTTATTAAAATGACACTTCACACAAAAGATACACTAACCAAACTTCTGACTTTCATATAAAAAAACTTTCTAGGCAAAAGAGAGTAAATTTTCAAGGTAAAATGAATAATTATAGAAAAATATTTTTATCATTATAAGATGTGTAATTATAGAAAAATATTTTTATCATTATAAGATGCATATATACAAAATTGTATAAATTGTTGATAAATATAGGCAGTTATATCATAATTTGATTGTCAAATAAGGAAATCAAATAAGATACCTGTGTGACGAGATTGGACAGTAAATGGTGTAACAATTCAGAGTATAATGAAGAGTTGGGACAGTTGCTGAAATTCACGGAAAACTTTCCCAGTGCCATAGCATCAGCTCTACCATATCTGAAGTTTTAGTCATAATAAGAACATATAATTAATTTTCTTATATACCTATAAATTTTCTCCCTAAATACACGCAAATCTTGAAGCGCAAATACGCTTCAATGGATAGAAAATTCCGTATTATGTAAGTGACAAATACGGTACCAAATATGGAAGTGCCAGACTATTTTTGACGTTGGTTCCGATCTAAGCTGTGTATAACGTTGCATTTGGAAACGGGAACCAAAATTATTCCGTCTCGCGTGATATCATTTTTCAAACCGCTGCTCGTAGCAAAATACAAAGCCTCAGAAAGTTACTACAACATAATATTCCCTATGTATCTTTTTCAATTGTTGTGGCAAATAAAGATTTTCCTATAATGTCCCATGTATAGGGATTCTTAGCAGACTCTTCAGCATCTGATAGCATTTTAAAATCTCTTGCAGAAAAACTTTTTTCACAACCCTTTGCCATTAGACCAACATCAACTGGCACACCCCTGCCATTTGATCATGATCTACTTTGTATGCTGTTTAGTAAGTATAACATTTTGAAATTTTCCCGGTTAACTCCAGATTGTAAGGTGGACAAGTCCATTAAATATATGTGTATTTAGAGTGGTTATTGTTAATCGTCTCTTACTTAAAGAGTAAAGCATAACAATATTTCCTTTCCAATAATTGTTTGTACTTTTGTGATATTCTAAAAATTTCTATACTTATAATTTATCATACATTTTTTCCCTATGCTTAACACATACATTTTTCCCCATTGCGGAAGATTCAGATTATGGCAAAAATGCCTGTGGGCACAAAATGTTCACTCTGTAAGTTTCCTAATAAATGTCAATGTTCAGTAAAACTTACACATTGGCAATAAGATGACACAGTAGGTATTTGGCAGCCATTTTATCTCCAAGTAAAGCATGCTCCAGTACAGACAACAATTCCTGTTTCAAAGCTGTCAAAACACCCTGAATATTCTCCAATACTGTAAAATATCAAATATCACAATTATCATATAGTGAAACAACTTAACTTCCAGATTTTTCACTAAGTTTACATTACATTATTGCATTTTAATGTAATGCCAGATCAACAATATAAATTATTTATTTTAACATTTCTTCATACCTTAGCATTTGCCAATTAAGTGTTATTTATTTGAAAATTTAATGGAATTCAAAGTTGTGTAAAGTATGTTTTTTGCATCAGTGATTTGAATAAATGTACAAATAATTAGATTTGGTGTGGAGACCAGTCATGGACTCTAAATTTTAAGATAGATGGATTTCATTTACAAGTCCTTTAAGATATCTAGCGCACCTTACAAGATAACATGAAAATAAATTCATTAGAATGAAACGACAAACTTGTTCAACTGGAATAACTATGTACAGTAAATTCTCTCTATTAAGACCACAAATAGGACTAACTCGAAGTGATCTTTAAAGTAAACTGGTCTTAATAGTGAATAAGCAACCTTAACAACTTATGCAGTCCAACTTATAAGTACCCATGTCTCAAACTTTAAGTTAGGTTTTATCTCTTTCTGCAGATGTTAAACTTTCGATTTTTTTTTAATTGGTACATTTTCTTATTTCATAAAAATTTTTATGACAGACCAAGGTAACAATTATTTTAAGTGTTATTACAAACTAAAGAATGAGGTTTAGCTGTAATAATGCACATTTTTTGGAGCATAACCACATTTACTCAATTTCATTCACATGTAAATTAAAACTTTTGATCTTAAGAAACTTACACTTCTCATAATGATTTAAACATTAATTGCATATCTAAATAAAGCACTTTTTTAAATTGATAGTTTGGTGCAATTAGCATCTTTTACCATACTTGTCTTCAACAAAACAATTGAGCAGCGTCATGACAAAACCAACATAATGCATTTGCGACCAGCATTGATCCAGACCAGCCTGAGCATCCGAGCAGTCTGATCAGGATTCATGCTGATCGCTTACAAACTGTAATACAAGTAGAGAAACTGATAGGGAACAGCATGGATCGTGATCAGACTGCTGGTCGCAAACACATTATGTTGGTTTTGTCATAGCGCTGCTCAATTAAATGCTATTGACCAGTCGATTACCGACAAAACTGTTTCTAACACCAAACCTGAAGAAATTCAGTCTCAATCATGCTGACGCTTAAATACTATTACTATATTGTAAATCAAGAGTATGATAGACTTACACAGATAAAGACCTAATTTGACACTGTGTGTTTGTTTACGCCACAGACAAGATTATGACAATGGGGGCATAAACACACAATGGTCTGACGAGAGAAGTGCTGGCTATGATGTATTAGATTGATCATTTTTCTCAATGAATAAAGAAGGCAAATACTTTGTATAATTGATAAATGGCCTTAATAGCTTTAAAGTCGTAAGATGGTATTTTACTGTATGTTTATGTTCTGCTTTCTCTAACTTTGGTTGGGTTTTATGACACATCAACACAGTATAGGTCACATGGCAACTTTCTAGCTCAACTGATTGAAGAAGACCTCAGCTGCTCTTCCGTGCAATATTTCAGGTATGAATGGGCACAGGAGTAGAACCAATATTCCATAAGCACACTGAATGGCTTCCTCAATAAAGAATTTAAAATCCCTGTCAGGATTCTAACAGTTGGGGGAAAATTGTTTGAAGTCAACAACCTTAATCACTCGACCATGGACCCCCAATTTATTCAATCTTTGACTGCAAAACAAAACAAGATTGCATTTGAGAAAAATGCTATGCCACCGCATTAATACAACACTAAATAGTAGTGTAGAAACAGATTTTTTTTTGTTTCTATACAATTTTGAAGATTGTCATAATGCATAGATCCCTGGCCTATCTAATTCTTATTATCAGATTAGTGGTTAAATCTGTTGTTAACTCAATAAAAGATCAGAGTAGGAATATATCAATGCACTTGAGTCTAGTGAATTTGATGGTCATATTTCACACAGCCTAAATTTCATGACTCCATCAAAGGACAACACAGTAAGACACTTTGTCAAAATCTAGGTAAGCTGAAATCAAAGTTCACTTAACATCTTAATCTGTACACATGGTTCAAATTATATAGCTGTACATAAAAGGACAAGAAAGTAGGTCACATCATCAAAATCTAGGTCACCTGATATCAAAGTTCAATTTTACATCTAAAACTGTGCACATGGTCAAAATTTCATTGCTGTACATCAAAGGACAAGAAAGTAGGTCACTGTCCCCTTGGGCAAGGCAAAATTTTGGACCCAAGGGTTTAATTCAAAACAATCTTGATACAGGTCCACCAAACAACATTTCAAGTCAAATATCTAAGCTGTAGCTTTCTCCCATTCAGAAAAGATTTGTTTTATTTTCTGTTTTTACTATGTGAACATAATGAGAATCACGGCCCCTGGACAGGGCCAATTTTAACACTAGGGGCATAATTAAAACAACTTTAGTAGAGAACCCATAGATGATATCATATAGCAAACATCAAAGCTCTATGCCTTGTACCTTCAGACAAATTTTTTTTTTTTTTACTATATGTACATAGTGAAAATCAATGACTCCTGGGGGTGGGGCCAATTTTGACCCCTGGGCTATAATGTGTACAATCTTGCTAGAGGTTCACTACATAATGTTTCATGCAAAATGTCTTAACTCTAGCCTTTGTAAATTTAGAGAAGATGATTTTTTAAGTTTTTACTATATACATATAAGGAAAACCTATGGCCCACGGAGCGGGGCTAATTTTGACACAAGAGGCAAAATTTGAACAACTTTGGTAGAGTACCTATAGATGATATCATTTAACAAATATTCAAGCTCTAAGCCTTGTACCTTCAGACAATAAGATTTTTTGATTTTTTACTATACATGTATGTATATATTGAAAATCAATGACCCCCGGGGCAGGGGCAATTTTGACCCCAGGGCTATAATTTGAACAATCTTGCTAGAAGTTCACTTCACAATGTTTCATGCAAAATATCTAACCTCTAGCATTTGTCAATTGCTAGAAGAAATTTTTTTACTTTAAATTTTTTAAATATATACATATAAGGAAAACCAATGACCCCCGGGGCAGGGCCGATTTTGACCCCAGGGCTATAATTTGAACAATCTGAATAGAGGTCTACCAGACAATGCCTTATGCAAAATATCTAAGCTCTAGGCCTTTTGGGTCTTGAAAAGAAGGTATTTTAAGTTTTTACTATATGTACATATAGTGAAAATCAATGACCCCCGGGGCGGGGCCGATTTTGACCCCAGGGCTATAATTTGAACAATCTTGGTAATGGTCTATCAGACAATGCCTTATGCAAAATATCTAAGCTTTAGGCCTTTTGGGTCTTTACAAGAAGTTATTTTAAGTTTTTACTATATGTACATAAAGTGAAAATCAATGACCCCCGGGGCAGGGCCGATTTTGACCCCAGGGCTATAATTTGAACAACCTTGGTAGAGGTCTACCAGACAATGCCTAATGCGAAATATCTAAGCTCTAAGCCTTTTGGGTCTTTACAAGAAGATTTTTCGAATTATTCTTATAATTCCTTTTGGTTGCCATGGCAACCAGATTTCTGCGTGGAATGAAATTTTTTGAACAACTTTGGAAGCCCTTCACTCAAGGATCAATCCTGCCAAGTTTGGTTGAAATTCGACAAGTGGTTTTTCACAAGAAATTTTTTTAAATTCACAATATAATCTATAGAACACACACACACACACGCAAACAAACAAACAAACACACACACACACACACACAGAGGTGAATCGCTATATGCCACCGCATCGCAGATGCTGTGGTGGCATAAAAACATTTTATCACCATGTACCTTGTATCTTATCTTCAACTAATTCAGGTACCAAAGGGTTTACATGCTTGAGTGGCTTGCACACAACTGCATGAAGGCGTGGCACAAGTGATGGGGGCGGGGAATGAGCGTTCACCTCCTCCTGTGGTTCTTCATGTACAGTTATCATCGAATTATCTTCCTCACTGAAAAAAGAGTTCCACTCAGTGTTAGTAAAACCAAAGTGAAAATGCAAGAAAACAGAAACTCCGGAGGTAAAAAGTTTAACTGAGGGAACCTATTTTTTAATTAAGCAAGCATATTTATATATTATAATCATAGTTAACATGTTAAAATTTCCTAAATTTCTTACCGTACTATACTGATAACCATTAGAAACAAATCTGTTATTTCAATTTTCTTACTATAACTTTTAACACCTGTTCTAACTACTAACCTAAGAAATATCAATTTATAGTAGACATAATTATTGAAATATATTGTCACCTTAGTGCAATAACAGGTTAACTCCTATCAAATTTAGGACTTAACCCATTACTGCACTAAGGTGACAATATAAAGTACTATAGATTTTCGTGATGAAAAAAAAAAAACAAACAAGAGGGCCATGATGGCCCTGAGGTCGCTCACCTGTATATAGGCCCCCCCACCCCAACGTTGCAGGGCCAATTTAACCCAAGGGCTTTTATTTGCACAAACTTGGTAGACACCCATAAGATGTTTCATGCTAAACATCTAAGCTCTAGCTCATTGGGCTTTTTAAAAGAAGATTTTTTTAAAGTTTTTACTATAAAAATACAGTCGAAACTGTCTTAAGCAGCCAGCCAAGGGATGCAGTCATTTTGGCTGCTTAAGACAGGTGGCTGCTGAATGGAGGATCCAGTTTTTATCCAAATAAACTAGAACTGCCACTATCATGGCCTGAATACCCCCGCATACCACTTTGTCAGAATCAACAGTGGCCATTTAGAGCTCAAGGACAACCTCCCTGCCAAATCTGAGGTAACTAAGCCAGTGCATTGCTAAGTTATGTATTCTACATGCTTCAAATGTGAAAATGTCAAAATCAATACATTGCAGACAGGACATTCTTTAGCAATTGAGAAGAAAAGCTTTTTTTTGTCAAGGTCCCTGTGACCTTGACCTTTGACCCAGTGACCTCAAAATCAATAGGGGTCACCTTATAGTCATGATCAACATCCATGCCAAATATGAAGACTGTGGGTCAAAGGAATCTTAAGTTAATGGGTGGACAAACTTTTTGAAGTCAAAGTCCCTATGACCTTGAACTTTGATCCAGTGACATCAAAATCAAAAGGGGTCATCTACTAATCATGATCAACATCCATGCCAAATATGAAGACTGTGGGTCAAAGGAATCTAAAGTTATTGGGCAGACAAACTTTTGAAGTCAAAGTCCCTGTGACCTTGACCTTTGACATGGTGACCTCAAAATCAATAGGGGTCATTTACTAATCATGACTAACCTCCATTCCAAATATGAAAACTGTGGGTCAAAGGAATCTTAAGTTATTGGGCGGACAAGCTTTTTGAAGTCAAGGCCCCTGTGACCTTGACCTTTGACCTGGTGACCTCAAAGTCAATAGGGGTCATCTACTTATCATGACTAGCCTCCATGCCAAATATGAAGACTGTCGGTCAAAGGAATCTTAAGTTATTGGGCAGACAAGCTTTTTGAAGTCAAGGCCCCTGTGACCTTGACCTTTGACCTGGTGACCTCAAAATTAATTGGGGTCATCTGTTAATCATGGCTAATCTAAATACCAAATATGAAGACTGTGAGTCAAAGGTTTATCAAGTTATTGGGCAGAAAGGCTTTTTTAAGTCAAGGCCCCTCTGACCTTGACATTTGACCTAGTGACCTCAAATTCAATAGGGGTCATCTTCTAGTCATGACTAACCTCAATGCCAAATATGAAAACTGTGGGTCAAACGAATCTTTAGTTATTAGGCGGACAAGCTTTTTGAAGTCAAGGCCCCTGTGACCTTGACCTTTGACCTGGTGACCTCAAAGTCAATAGGGGTCATCTACTTATCATGACTAGCCTCCATGCCAAATATGAAGACTGTCGGTCAAAGGAATCTTTAAGTTATAGGGCGGACAAGCATTTTGAAGTAAAGGCCCCTGTGATCTTGACCTTTGACCTGGTGACCTAAAAGTCAATAGGGGTCATCTACTAATCATGACTAACCTCAATACCAAATATGAAGACTATGGGTCAAAGGAATCTTAAGTTATTGGCCGGACAAGCTTTTTGAAGTCAAGGCCCCTGTGACCTTGACCTTTGACCTGGTGACCTCAAAATCAATAGGGGTCATCTACTTATCATGACTAGCCTCCATGCCAAATATGAAGACTGTCGGTCAAAGGAATCTTAAGTTATTGGGCAGACAAGCTTTTTGAAGTCAAGGCCCCTGTGACCTTGACCTTTGACCTCAAAATCAATTGGGGTCATCTACTAATCATGACTAACCTCAATGCCAAATATGAAGACTGTGGGTCAAAGGAATCTTAAGTAATTGGTCGGACAAGCTTTTTGAAGTCAAGGCCCCTGTGACCTTGACCTTTGACCTGGTGACCTCAAAATCAATAGGGGTCATCTACTAATCATGACTAACCTCAATGCCAAATATGAAGACTATGGGTCAAAGGAATCTTAAGTTATTGGGCAGACAAGCTTTTTGAAGTCAAGGCCCCTGTGACCTTGACCTTTGACCTGGTGACCTCAAAATCAATAGGGGTCATCTACTAATCATGACTTATCTCCATGCCAAATATGAAGACTGTGGGTCAAAGGAATCTTGTGTTATTGGGAGGACAAGCTTTTTGAAGTCAAGGCCCCTGTGACCTTGACCTTTGACCTGGTGACCTCAAAATCAATAGGGGTCATTTACTAATCATGACTAACCTCCACGCCAAATATGACGACTGTAGGTCAAAGGAATCTTAAGTTATTGGGCGGACAAGCTTTTTAAAGTCAAGGCCCCTGTGACCTTGACCTTTGACCTGGTGACCTCAAAATCAATAGGGGTCATCTACTAATCATGACTTATCTCCATGCCAAATATGAAGACTGTGGGTCAAAGGAATCTTGTGTTATTGGGAGGACAAGCTTTTTGAAGTCAAGGCCCCTGTGACCTTTGACCTGGTGACCTCAAAATCAATAGGGGTCATTTACTAATCATGACTAACCTCCACGCCAAATATGACGACTGTAGGTCAAAGGAATCTTAAGTTATTGGGCGGACAAGCTTTTTAAAGTCAAGGCCACTGTGACCTTGACCTTTGACCTGGTGACCTCAAAATCAATAGGGGTCATCTACTAATCATGACTAACCTCCATTCCAAATATGAAAACTGTGGGTCAAAGGAATCTTAAGTTATTGGGCGGACAAGAAAAAACCGACGGACGGCCGGACAGCCGGACGAACAAGCTGATTCCAGTATACCCCCCTTACAACTTTGTTGTGCGGGGGTATAATTATTCATTTCTTTGTAAAATAAATCTGATTTAAGTATAAATAAACCAGTCTGATTCATCATCATCATAATCAGTTTTTAACCATTTACAAACGTATGCTTTTAATGGTTTAACATGTACACAATCCTTCCAACATATAAAGCTTTACATGAATGTAACACATAAACAAATGCACTCACGATTTATTATGTCAATAATTGAAACTATTTATCCCATAAAAATATCTTCTTGCACAATAATTTAAAATGCGTAATATTTTTTTCACAAAAAAAGTATGACAGTTTCTTTTTCTAACTTTTGATCAATAGAATATTGTGTACATGTCATCTAAGTGTCGGCACTTCCTTTGATGTTTCGGATTGAACAGCAGGGCTACAGGTTTGTAAACATCAAAGATTCCTTTGAAGAGACCGCTAGTTACCTCTTAGAGGTCATCTAGTGTGTAAACTTAATGGGTGTGATTTAACAGTGACCTCATTATATTTATGCAATTTTATTTTCACACATGGAGCAAGTGATTTTATGAATTTATTACTGAGGAATTTAGACAATCGGCGATGTAATTCATTTTCATTTCTTTGGTAGGTACCATGTACGCACAAAATTTATCTGAATCGGGATAAACTGAAATTTCTTTCTGCCATTGACAATGCATTTTTTTCTTAAAATCGGTAAATTGAAAAATAAAACAAGAGGGCCATGATGGCCCTGAGGTCGCTCACCTGTATATAGCCCCCCCCCCCCCCCGGCGCCAATTTTTACCCAAGGGCTTTTATTTGAACAGACTTGGTAGACACCCATAAGAAGATGTTTCATGCTAAACATCTAAGTTCTAGCTCATTGGGTTTTTTAAAAGAAGATTTTTAAGTTTTTACTATACACATATAGTTAAAAACAATGACACCCCTGGGGCAGGGCCAGTTTTGACCCCCGGGCTTTTATTTGAACAAACTTTGTAGATATTTACTTAAAGATGTTTCATGTATAATATCTAAACTCAAGCTATTTGGGTTTTTTCAAAGAAGATTTTTAAATTTTTAAGTTTTTGCTATACACATATAAGGAAAATCAATGACCCCCGGGGCGGGGCCAGTTTTGACCCCAGGGCTTTTATTTGAACATACTTGGTAGACACCCATTAGAACATGTTTCATGCTAAATATCTTAGCTCTAGCTCTTTGAGTTCTTTAAAAGAAGATTTTTTAAGTTTTTACTATATGCATAAAGGGAAAATCAATGACCCCCTGGGGCGGGGCCAATTTTGACCCCAGGGCTTTTATTTGAACAAACTTGGTAGACACTCATTAGAAGATGTTTCATGCTAAATATCTTAGCTCTAGCTCTTTGGGTTCTTTAAAAGAAGATTTTTTAAGTTTTTACTATATGCATATAGGGAAAATCTATGACCCCCTGGGACGGGGCCAATTTTGACTCCAGGGCTTTTATTTGAACAAACTTGGTAGACACTCACTAGAAGATATTTTCCTGTCAAATATCTAAGCTCTAGCTCTTTGGGTTCTTTAAAAGAATATTTTTTAAGTTTTTACTATATGCATATAGGGAAAATCAATGACCCCCTGGGGCAGGGCCAATTTTAACCTCAGGGCTTTTATTTGAACAAACTTGGTAAACACTCATTAGAAGATGTTTCATGCTAAATATCTTAGCTCTAGCTCTTTGGGTTCTTTAAAAGAAGATTTTTTTAAGTTTTTACTATATGCATATAGGGAAAATCAATGACCCCCTGGGGCCGGGCCAATTTTGACCCCAGGGCTTTTATTTGAACAAACTTGGCAGACATTCACTAGAAGATGTTTCATGCCAAATATCTAAGCTCTAGCTTTTACAGTTCTGTAAAAGAAGATTTTTTAAGTTTTTACTATATGCATATAGGGAAAATAAATGACCCCCCGGGCCGGGGCCAATTTTGACCCCAGGGCTTTTATTTGAACAAACTTGGTAGACACTCACTAGAAGATGTTTCATGCCAAATATCTTAGCTCTAGCCCTTTGGGTTCTTTAAAAGAAGATTTTTTAAGTTTTTACTATATGCATATAGGGAAAATCAATGACCCCCTGGGGCGGGGCCAATTTTGACCCTAGGGCTTTTATTTGAACAAACTTGGTAGACACTCATTAGAAGATGTTTCATGCCAAATATCTAAGCTCTAGCTCTTATGGTTCTTTAAAAGAAGATATTTAAAGATTTTTCTTTTGGTTGCCATGGCAACCAGAGTTCTGCATGAAATGGAATTCTTTGAACAATCTTGATAGAGCTTCATACAAAGAGTATTCCTGCCAAGTTTCATTAACATTGGCCTTGCAGTATCATAGAAGATGTCCTTAGAATATTTAAAATGTGGACGGACGACTGATGACGGACGCCATTTGGTTGGCCATCCTAAAAGCTCACCTGCACTTTGTGCAAGGTGAGCTAAAAAACTAGCGTACAGTCACTCAAAAGAACGAATTGCAAGTGCGTTGAGACGTTCCAAACGTTTGTAATTACGACACGGATGAGCAATTATGCAAACTTCTTGAAATGTTGTGGTTTGTGTTAATATCTAGCACCTGACAAGTAGCTTTTGTTAATCCGTGACACGTGTCATCTTTAAAAATAAATGGCAGAAGATTGCCTGGCCGTTTCACCTGGCTGACCACAGAAGATTGCCTGGCCGTTTCACCTGGCTGACCGCTTAAGATGACCGACTTTAAGATTTGGGAAGCATTTTAGGTGACCGTTGACCGCGGACAGCAGGTGACCTTTGAACAGATGTATAAAATAGAGTGGTTTTCGTCGGGAGCGTCACAAAATGGCCGTTAAGGTCAGGTGACCGCCGATAAGAGGTGACCGTTAGTACAGTTTCGACTGTATAGTTAAAATCAATGACCCCCGGGGCGGGCCCAATTTTGACCCCAGGTCTTTTATTTGAACAAACTTTGTAGACACTCACTTAAAGATGTTTCATGCTTAATATCTTAACTCAAGCTATTTTGGTTTTTTCAAAGAAGAATTTTTAAGTTTTTGCTATACACACATAAGGAAAATCAATGACCCCCCCCCTGGGGCGGTGCCAATTTTGACCCCAGGGCTTTTATTTGAACAAACTTGGTAGACACCTATTAGAACAGGTTTCATGCTAAATATCTTAGCCATAGCTCTTTGAGTTCTTTAAGGTATTAGCACCCTAATGCATTACCTCCGCTTTGAAGAGTATTCAAATAGGCTAGAATTACTGTTAACTACATTGAAAATGAGGGCCATGGGTTCAATCCCCAGAAGGGTCAACTTTTTTTTTCTTTCTTTTTTTCTTTTAACATTATTTATGTATCTCTCATGTCCCATATGGAAAGAAAAAAGTGTTTAATTTTTAATTTTTAATTTATATAGGTATTTATTGGCTAAATTATGCTAAATCTAGTAATAAATATGGTACCTGATATTTTCAAAGTGTAATATAATCAAAACTAGACGGTAAAAGTATTTCATATTTTACAAGATCAACCAATATACTTTTTTAAAAATTTAGGGAAACTTTGAAAACAGGCACTCATTTGGGTAAATTTTAAGATTTTTTTTAATTAGGCTCCCTAAGTAGAAAAATGGTCAGACATGTGGTAAAAATGGGTGGGGTAGGGTAACATTTTTATACAGATTTCATAAATTTTAAGTAGAAACCATAATTTTGCTTATGTGGATTGTTAGCTGAATGGTACTATTTGTTTCTTACCAAAAATTCATGGGAAAACATTTTTCATTAGAATGTTATTGCAGATTATTTAAAGGTTCCTCATTTCTAAAAAAGGGCCCTCATAACATCCTAGCTTGAGTTCAGAAAAGTGGCCATAACTTGATTTCCGTACGGTAAACTTTGTTTAAATTTTGCATACAGGTGTACTTTAAGGTATACATCTGACCTATGATGTCAATTTTTTAGTTCCTGATAGTGCCCATTAGGGTCCTAATACCTTAAAAGAAGCTTTTTTAAGTTTTTACTATATGCATATAGGGAAAATCAATGACCCCCCCTGGGGCGGGGCCAATTTTAACCCCCAGGGCTTTTATTTGAACAAACTTGGTAGACACCTATAAGAACATGTTTGATGCTCAATATCTTAGCCATAGCTCTTTGAGTTCTTTAAAAGAAGATTTTTTAAGTTTTTACTATATGCATATAGGGAAAATCAATGACCCCCCAGGGAGGGGCCAATTTTGACCCCAGGGCTTTTATTTGAACAAACTTGGTAGACACTCACTAGAAGATGTTTCATGCCAAATATCTTAGCTCTAGCTCTTATGGTTTTTTTAAAGAAGATATTTAAAGTTTTTCTTTCGGTTGCCATGGCAACCAGAGTTCTGCATGGAATTAAATTCTTTGAACAATTTTTAAAGGTGACCACCAAAGGAACATTCCTGTGAAGTTTGGATGAAATTGGCTTAGTGGTTTATGAGGAGATGTCATTTAAAGTAAAAGTTTACGGACGGACGGACGCCGGACGAAAAGCGATCACAAAAGCTCACCCTGTCACTTTGTGACAGGTGAGCTAAAAAAAACCAATAGTTTTTGAGAGAATCCGTCATCTTAGCGCAGTAATGAGTTAACCTCTTATATAATCTAACAGGAGTTTACCAATTACTGCACTAAGGTGGCAACATATGATCTCATCATCACTCTCTTTCTGCAAACCTTTACAGACTTACGTGTTATCAAATCTTGCCAAGGAAGGGTCGACCGACAGCACACCAACAAATTCGACCACGTCATTTACTTTAAACTTGTCAATATCATCGTATACCTGGAAATATGATATAAATCTTTGCAATCAAACATTCAGTCAATCTATCAGTTAGTCAATCAATTAAAAAAACACATACAGACAAGGTAAAACGTTCAAAAAAGAGCTGATCCTGTAGGAGTTAACAATAGCAAAATGATGATTTGACTGGTTTATATTCTCTGTAAAAATGTATAAGTATTGGCAAAGAAATACAGATATACAGTTCATAGATCATAAAGAAACTGCCCTGAAGTTACCTTTACTAAACATGCTGGTCCTTTTTCTCCAGGAAGTGGAAAGTTGAGATCCGGTTTATCATTTGCACCTTCAACTGTTATAAAAAAAAAAAAATTGAAAATCTTACAAGATTCAAAACGACTGAAAATGAAGTGATTTATCACAACAATTGACTGAAAAGGTAAACTATGAACAGGAATTTCTCAAGTAACTATGCTTGCCTTTCAACCAAGATAACTTAAGGTCATAATCATGTTTTACTGAACATGGTATCACTACCAGTTGTCCAGGAAGTGGACTTAACTGGATCAAACAAGATCAAAATCTTTTCCACAATCAAGTTAACATAAATCATGCTTTAACTTAAGTTTACAAAATGGACTAGTTCTGCTTTGATTTCAAACTGTATATTGCCATTGAAAGGAACTTCAAATTGTCAGCAAATATGTTTTGTAAAACTGCAAAGACATGTAAAGTAGCCTTACTTTATCCTTGTGGAATAGACCAGCTTTGATAACAAGAGCACTGCATGCGGTCTTAATGCTCATCTGTTAAAAATACTAAGTTTAAAAGGGGCATTATAACTCCAAAAATATTGCTTTTAGAATAATGTTCTTTGTCTTACAACTGTACCTTGTCATGATAAGTAGGCATTGAGAACTTTTAAAATGTTTGAATACTGGGGTAATAGGCTACATTAAAGTTTTTGCTAAACGATGATGAAGCAGTACCATAATAGCTCTACTTTTTCTTTCGAAACAGACAGGCTGCCAATTTATTTCTAGTAATTAAAGTTCTTTGTACAAAGATTCACCACCTCTTTTTGTAGTTTGTTGACGTTTAGATTTTGCATCATCAGTTTCCATGGTAACATCTCCACTTTTATTTCCGGTCTCCACACTCTGACTTTCCATAGGTTCGTCTGTCACCTCAGATTCATCCTCGAGATTTCTTTTACCCCTTGCCCTGGTTGAAGACGTTGAGGGATAACATTGTGTTTTAACCTTACTCATATCTGCGAATGACTTTTCGGCAGTGAAGGATTATAAGTGTATCTATTTGTTTACCATACTGTAACTGAAAGAAATTTCCATTTATATCTTCCTTAACTAACAACAGTACTAGTTTAATAGCACTCTATTATTTTAATAAAGAAATTATGATTTAACATTTAACAAATGTTAAATTTCATTTACAACCATTCTCAATTTAAAGGACAAACAGTAAGAAGCAGTTTATATTTGTTCCTATAATTACTACCATGCCTAATCTAATGGCCAAAGTTTTCCTATTTCTATGGTCTGTTCGCACCTGTTGGAACTTTTATGTATACTGCACACACACTTAAATTACAAATAGTCAAAAGGAAAGGAAAAATACTGATTAATACTGAAATATAGAAGCATAGGTAAACGACTGTAAAATCTTATCATGTACTGTTAAGGTTTTAATGGTTTATCAAGCTTTTCTTATGCAGTCCTACTACTTCAAAATTTGTAAAATGGACAAGCCCTGCTTTGAAATTGAAAAAGTTTAAGAGCAGTTTTTATGGATTTCAACAACAGTATTATATAAATATATATAGTAAAGACTGGTTATACAGACTAGTCTGACTCTATACAGGTAACATGTGCAGGTCACGAGTGTGTAACATGTACATTGTACTGTACTAAAATAAAAGGATACTTTTTTAACCCATTCAGATTCACCAGGCACTGGTACACAATACAGTGTCATTCTATCCATAGTAACATTGTTTCTAGAGTCCACATCTATTGTCTGATTGGGCTGAAAGAAAAACTAAGAAATTAATTTTAATCATCTGTAAAAACTTTATAATTTAAAGTTATATATGTTATAACAAAAGAAAAGAACTAACTGTACTGATAATAACAGAAACAAGGATACTTGGATTTTTATCAAGCATCTTAAAAATTGAGTTTTCTAAAACACTTTGACAAAATCACAAGCAATGAAGATTGATTTCTTTTTCTTTCTTTTTAAATCGTGTTTAATGTCACACCAATACAGTATAGGTCATATGGTGACTTTCCAGCTTTTCTGGTGGAGGAAGACCTCAGGTGCCCCTCTGTACATTATTTTAGGCACAAACAGGTACCTGAGTAGAACCACTGACGTTCCATAAGCTAGCTGGATAGTTTTCTAACATGTACAAGAGCCATGTCAACATGCCCATCCCCCGCCGAATGTGTTTGCTCATTGGAAGAATGTATATGTAGTAGAGCGGAATAATTCCATTTTAAGAGGTCTTTTGGTAATGAAAACTGATGGCTATAGTGATTACAGCTTTGAAACCTATGTGAATACTGACGGCTGAAAATAACAAAGGGCAATTACTGAAAAATAATGCAGGGTAGGTTATCATTCTTGTGTGCTGCATCCCTCCTCAGTAAAATCTATCCACCTATGAGGTTTCAAGTTGATACCTCAAATACTTTTTGAGAAAAAAATTGAATTGAAAAATTAAGTATGAAAAAGAACAAAGGGCAATAACACAACAATTATAAAAGGTAGAGTTATCATTTTTGTGCAGTGCACACCTCCTGAGTGAGATCTATGCACCTATGAAGTTTCATTTTGATATCTCAAAGGCTTTTTGAGTTATGCTCTGGACAAAAATTAATTTTGAAAAAAAAAAAGGGCAATAACTCAAAAATAATGCAGGGTAGAGTTATCATTCTTAAGCACTGCACTCCTCCTCAATGAGATCCATCCACCTTTTGAAGTTTCAAGTTGATACCTCAAATACTTTTTCAGATAAGCTCTGGACAAAATAGCATGAAAAAAAACAAAGGGCAATAACTCAAAAATTGTATAGGGAAGAGTTATCATTCTTGCGCACAACATTCCTCCTCAATAAGATCTATCCACCTATGACATTTCATGTTGATATCTCAAACACTTTTTGAGTTATGCTCCACTCAGGTGAAAAATTAGGTATGAAAAATAACAAAGGGCAATAACTCAAAAATTATGAAAGGTAGAGTTATCATTCTTGTGCACTGCACATCTCCTGAGTGAGATCTATGCACCTATGAAGTTTCATGTTAATATCTCATAGGCTTTTGGAGTTATGCTCTGGACAAAAATCAATTTTGAAAAATAACAAAGGGCAATAACTCAAAAATCATGCAAGGTAGAGTTATCATTCTTGTGCACTGCACTCCTCCTCAATGAGGTCTATCCACCTATGAAGTTTCAAGTTGATAACTCAAACACTTTTAGAGATATGCTCCGGACAAAAATGTCGGACGGAAGGACGGACAGACGGACGGAAGGTCGGACGGACGGAGACTATTTCTATATCCTCCGCCGAAATTTTTTGGCGGGGAATAAAAATCTAAGGAAGACACTAGCGTGGCACAAACCTACAGTAGTTAGAGGCAAGTTAGTGGGTTGGAGACAACAAACCCTTACTATTCCTCAAGTGATGTCCATGATGATTAATCAACATGCTAGCAAAATTATAAAATATTTATACACTGAATAAAGTCCATTACTGCTTCAAAGATAAGTTTTTTTATGTTAGTACATAAAATAATGACATTCATATGGCAGACCTTATTTCCTACATAATTTTTACAACCAGTCAAGATCTTAAAAATCAAATAGAGTATAATTATATTTCTTTATTGTAAAAGTAAAAATTTTCTTCTTGTTTCTTTCTGGATAGCTTTATTTTTCTCTATCAATCACCAAAAAAACATGCAATTTTCTACATTTATATCTTTCATGCTTAGAAAAACATGTCGAGAAAATGTAAAACATTTGACATAACAATTTTCATTGAATCTTTTCCAAAAAACAAAGTTTTTCACTCTAGTAAATAAGGATGAAAAAAGTGCCAGTCTATATAACCTGTTTGATACATTTCTGATTAAATGAAAATATTTTAAATAATATAATTATAAACAAGCAAATTCGTTGAATTTATATCCCCCGCCGAGCACTGGTTATTATTAACACAACAACTGAAGACATAAGGCTTTATTTATATATTAATCATGGCATAAACTGTAATATTCTTTGACCTTGAAGCCTTGTACCTTCAAACAAGAAGAAGGAAAATCTATGACCCCCTGGAGTGGGGCCAATTTTGACCCCAGGGCTAAAATTTGAAAAACTTTGGTGGAGGACCTTTAGGTGATATCATATAACAAATTACAAAGCTCTAGGCCTTGTACTGTCAGACAAGATTTTTTAATTTTGCATTTTTGAAACTCCTTTTCTGGCACCGTGTGACTGATGATTGTGATTGAAAATTACAAAATTTTACTTAGTCAAGGGCAATAACTCTAAAAATACTAAAAATATCCAGACGAAAATACCCAGGTGCACAACTACACATACTGATCAACATTCCTGTAAAGTTTCATGACTCTAGGTCAAATACTTTTTGAGTTACATGCGACACAAGTTGAAAATTACAAAATTTTACTAAGTCAAGGGCAATAACTCTAAAAATACTAAAAATATCCAGACGAAAATACCCAGATGCACAACTTCACATGCTGATCAACATTCCCATAAAGTTTCGTTGAATTCCAGCCATTAGTTGCAGAGAACTACTCCGGAAACGAAATTCAGACAAAATTTTACTGAGTCAAGGGCAATAACTCTAAAAATACTAAAAATATCCAGACGAAAATACCCAGGTGCACAACTTCACATGCTGATCAACATTCCCATAAAGTTTCGTTGAATTCCAGCCATAAGTTGCAGAGAAATACTCCGGAAACGAAATTCGGACGGACGGACGGAAGGACGGACGGACAACGCCAAAACTATATCCCCCTCCCGATTCCATCGGCGGGGGATAATAAAAGTCTTACCCCACATTCAGCCACATCCTTGTATTTACCACTCCTCAGAAATGTGTTGCCCGTGACAGTATCTTTCACCTCATACTTGCCAAGGTAAAATTCAGGATCATACATATCTTGTATCAGACAACGATATCGCACCAGCGAGTTTGCTTTCAGATCGTGCATACTGGTATCATTCAAGCTTGGTACCTGAAACATTCAAATACATATTAAATTTGCGTAATTTGTTCTCAGCTTTGAATTTAGAACAGTCCAAAGTTTTAATGATTTTAATAACAGTGTCAAATTGAAAATTCTCACATTGTTAAGTATTATATAAACAAGAAAAATATTACATACATTCGTATGTAATATAGGTACGATTGCATACTACTTTTTGTGTCTACTTTTAATGTTTGCTGCATTAAAGGTGTAATGAAAATGAACAAACATGTCATGAGATATTTTATATCTTTAAACATTTTCATGGAATGTAATTAATGTATCATCATATTAAAGATGCATGCCTTCAGATGCAGGGCTTTTTTTCCTTCTATAACAGGGGCCGATATAAGGCCCCTTCACAATTCAAAATTGCACTTTTTTTTCACAAAGTGGCGGGAAAAAAAATTCACAATTTCAAAAGAAATTTCACAAAATATTGGGAATTTGTCTTTGAAATACATTGTTTACCTTCCAGTTAAACATGATTTACGCCAATTTCAAGAACACAGAAATAGTTTTAATCAAGTGAAATGATTTAAGCACATGTAATTTTATGACAAATCGCGCTTTTTTCACAAAATGAACAGGTCCAGGCCCCTTCACAATTTTGACAAAAAATGCCCTGAGATGAGAAAAATGATTTCAAGGAAATCAAAATATGAAAAAGAAAATTCACGGTCAATTGACTGCCTTGAAGCATAATCACAGAATAAAATTACAGGAAATTAAAAACCTTTTTAATACACTAAAGGTAGAATTTCATTGTAAGTCATAGTCACAGATTTGAGATATGATTATTTATTCATATTAACATCATGATTGGTTATGTATTGATAAAAAAAAACGAAAGACACAGTTTGTAAATATTCATTACAATAAAATATGAAAAAGGTATTTTCCATCATACGCGACACGCCGAGGTTAGCTATATTTATAATTCCCCCGCTAAGTTGCGGTGGTGCTTGGGATAATCTCTTGATACTGTAAATGGCAGCCATTTTACGATACGAAAATGCCTGGCCCTCCTCGGACAGTTTATCCTGCCGAAAAGATATGAAAAAATACTTGCAATTCAAAGTTTGTTTGCTACATAAAGATTATTGATTTACTCTTTGCAAACTTTTTTTCTGCCTGATTGTAATAATATTGATGTGTTTTCATTGGCTTAAACCATCAAGTTATCAATACACATAAAGGTGTGAACTAATTTCGTGTTCATTAAAATTATTCCGTTAATAGACAATCACATATAACAATCTTATTTACAAATGAATTGATAAAACAACAATCCCAGAAGCATTTAAGATAATAACAATCATTGGAAAAAAATTAAATGCATATAAATTGTAAATTTGTGTATGACAACTCGCCCCCTAAACAAAACATAATAGACTCAACCAAAACAAGCGTCTGCTTGTTTACCTAACTATGTAGTTGCATGACCGTGATCAGCAATAGCAAACCAAATGTAAGAGCTAAAGCTATTGTAAAAATAATACTATGACCACAGCAGATTTCGTACAGAAAAAGCAAATTTCAACAACGAAAATGTTTCATTATACATCCATTTCATAAATTATATTTTCTCAAAAATAATCATTATAAAATAAATACAAACCCATGTTAATGCACTTTTGTTAGCAAGTTTTTCATTGAAATACTTTCTGACTGGCAGGCTGTCACCATCTTGTGCCTTATCTGAAATAAACATACATGTAGTTGTTTAAATATTACCTAAAATATTTTATTTTTTTTAATAGCATGGCAGAAAAGGTAAGAAAAATAATATTTGAGTGCAAAAACTACACTACTGTGAAACTGCATTGATTTACAGGTGATTTTTTTCTCCATATTTTACAGCCTTTTGACTTGCCTAACTAAACAAAAAGGAAATGTCAGGTGCTTCAGGGCCCTCAATCCAATATAGTGGAAGGGGGTTGCTACTAGTGTTGGGTATCGGACTCAAAAATCACTATCGATAATCGGACCACCACAATCGATTGTCTTCCGATAGTATAATCGAGTTTCGCATTTATTATGGCCCTTTTTCTTTTAAGGTACTAATCCTTGTATGTATTTTTATACAGCAGTGACCACATTTTGAGAATAAATAAACTCTTGTCTCCAAGGTTAAAGTATGATTTGCTCTTTGAATTCAAAACAAACAACACAAATACTAATACTTTTTTGTGACAGTCAATTTTTGTAAAATACAACTTTTTGGCAGTCAATATTAGTACTAGTCAACATGTCAAAATATTAATGAGTAGTATTCTAGATCACTAATTTAACTTCTGTAGATATATAACTTTATAATGCTATGTTATTACACACTACTCGGTCGGGAAACTTCTTTTTGACTGCATGTAAAAAGTTAAGCCCTAGGCAATTCAGCGCGGTGGTAGAACATTAAGATAATCCATTTTTAAAAAGGACTATCGATTGTTGCCGATTTTGGGGTGGTCCGATTAGTTATCGATTTTCAGAGACAATCGGGACAACACTAGTTGCTACCCTCAGCAGGAGGAATTTCAGTGTATGGGGGAATTTTTTTCATTTCTGTTTTGATCAAATATCAATAAACTACCACTTAAATATCAGTGAGTTTTCAATATGACTTGCTATTGTGAAACATTTTGGGGACGAAAGGCTTCCTAGTGCATCCATACAATGGTGGAACCATGTGAAACGGAAACGGTGCAGACATAAAAGTTTTACAATAATACGCTGACAAAAACACCATGACAGATTGATTTTACTTGTCAAAATCAGCATTTTTTCCATTGGAGGTTTTATGTTCTGTAAGTCTGTTAAGGGGGGGGGGGGGGGGGGGGGGGGGGGAAACATACTATTATTTTGTGGGGGTGGGGGGGGGGGGGGAACATAATATTATTTTTGTGGGGGATTGCGGCTGATATCTAGCAGCAGATTTGGTAGATCAATGACCCTGTGCTTATATCTGGTAGCTTATCCTATGACAGTGTCCCTGAGAAAACGCACACTTAATAAACAGCTTGCAAATAAAACATAATGTAATATATTGGTTACTTGTCTGATTTTGCCTTTTAATATAAACAGGTTTACAAAGGTCTACACTATGACATGTGTGAACTCTTTAACTGCTTAAGATAGACCCGTAGGGAAAGTCTACCAATAATTGTGCCAGGAATCTGACACGCTGCAACACGCTCGTAGTCATTTATTGAGCCAGAACTACATGTCGATCTACGGTATATGAATAAACAAATTTACAAAAATTCATGTAGGATGGTCCCCTATGGTACCATTGTACTTATTATTTCCCGAAATTCCATAAATTTTACTATAAAAAGATCTTACATTAACTATTTTATTAAATTGTGTTTTACTGTTGCATCTTGACTTCAATATACACATGTCATTCAATCAATGATTTAAATTAGAAACATCTATGATCAGTCAGCAATATTTTGAATGGGAGCTTAAACGGAGAGCACTATGATACTGTGGTATGTAAATTGGTGGCCTTTTTTGGCTTCACTAGAATTTTTTCCAACAGAATATGACGTCACTACAGTATCAGCAGACGACCTTCACTTGTCAGAACATGAAGTAATCAGCTGGTAAATATGGGGTACAATAAAGAAGAAGTACATTGTACTTTGGACTTTCATATCAATGACAGAAATTTATTTGAAACAGGGCTTTTTTTCCTTCTATAACAGGGGCCGATATAAGGCCCCTTCACAATTCAAAATTGCACTTTTTTTCACAAAGCTGGGGGGGGGGGGGAAATTCACAATTTCAAAAGTGATTTCACAAAATATTGGGACTTTGTCCTCGAAAGACATTGTTAACCTTCCGGTAAAACTTGATTTACACCAATTGCAATAACATAGAAGTTAGTAGTTTTAAGCAAGTAAAATGGTTTTTGGGCATGTTAACTGGGTTAAAGTACCGACTTGAAGCAGATTTTACACTGGTCAGAAATTATAATCAACCATTTCCAGTTTCAAAATGTCGTGAAATGCAAAGTAATATGTTTTCTTTTTTTTTCACAATTTTAGGACATATTGAGATTTTTTTCACAGGCCCAGGCCCCTTCACAATTTTGACAAAAAATGCCCTGTAAAATGAAAATATTTCTAACAGTTTTTCATCCGATTTCAAAAAAGAAGCACTACCACTTTCACTTAAATGGTGAAAACAGTCTATCGGTGGTGTTCAATGTGTAAACACATTTTCTGATTACACCGGAATGGGCAAGGACCTGCGGGGAATACTATGTCTATTGTATAACTGTATGTTTATTCAAACAGTCTTTCACTTACCCAGATATAAGAAAATAAGAACATTTCTTATTTCTTTTTCAATTAATATGTAATGACATTTACAACTTTGCATTTTATCTTTAAAATCAAACATGACATGTAAAGTAGATTTTAGATGTTTCAGCAGTATGTCATTCGTGGCTTTACAAGCAAATTCAATCCAAATAAAAATATTCAAACAAAATAATGTTTAAATAACGTGTACTTTTATGCAATGAAATGTTGGCCTATTCATTAGTTTAGTAAGTTAAAATTTTAAATGCTTAATCGAGATAATTATCGCTGTTCCGGGACGGCAATATATACAACTGACAAGATTTGATCAGTTCTACCTGTACACCGCCTGCGTTTAGCCAATCAATGCGAATAATTCAATGATAACATAATGGACGCAATGAGGGATGCTTAAATGGACTCGCCCAACCGCCATGTTTTGTCGTTCAATTGAAAAATACCATTAAGGCATTATCGATGTACAAACTCAGTACTGTAACCAGTCTTTACTCTTTAGTCTCTTGCAGGATAAACACAGCAAATTGCAATATTTTTTGCTACATGTCATTTCTGATTAATGTAGTGTAAAAAAGAAAATATTTTGTTTTCTAATTAAGTTTAAAGAAAAAAACTTTATAAATGCTTTTTTCCAGGCGAGTTTAATACTATGAGTGTTGTTATTGCATTATTATTGCATAAAGCACTGGTCAATTATAGTCTGTTTCAGAAAAAAAACTTCGCAAAGCAGTCGACGGAGTATATAACGTAAATTCCATTCACAGACTTCAATTTTAATGAGTAGCAAGTTGCGAAATATGTTGTTAAATAATTATGCAAGAACTGAAGAAGCTGATTTTTTTTGTCGATTGATCAATGCACATACTTATTAAGTAGCACATGTAGTCTAACTTATAGTACTACGAGTCAAGTTATTGTGATATTTTCTCATGGGCAATACTGAGTACTACATTCTGACCCAGCAGAATCTAACTGAGCCGTCAAAATATTTTGACAAGAACGGTATAGTAGAGACGAGAGTAAATCAAATTTTTTGCTGGTTTTATGTTTTGACCACATACAAAAAATGATAAGGCAGAGAAATATTATTTCTATATTCATGGCCATGGCTGAACGGCGATTCCAAGCATTTTTGGAAATGCTAAGGCATGGAGTTTAATAGACTGGAGAAGCAACTTGTGACGTCACACAGTTAAATTCAGTATAAATGCAAAGCGCGTTCTCGTAGTTATCATATGTCGCGTGTATGTATATCTGTGGCTAAGGCTACAGCGATTGTGCATCAAATTAGGCAGTGTCGCGAAATTATGTGAAAAACGTGTTTATGTGATCAAATTGAAATTATGTTAACAACAGTAATCTTGATAAGGTTACCAGAAAGTGTTTGAATAATTCCGAGAGGGTTATTGATCCAATCTTCAATGCTTGGCATAATGAAACGAGGATTTCGACCAAACAATAGATGTTAATAGGAAGTATGGCGGGAAAATGTCACGTGGAAATTTGGGTCAAATGAAAGAATTACGGACAATTCGGGCCAAGGACGTTTAGGACGGTAAAGGGTCAACTCGGCCCTATACCAACTCGGCACAGGTCAACTCGGCCCTCTATTAAAAACATATATTAGGATATAGATTGTTTAAATTGTTTACAGTAGTTAACAAAAATTTTAAGGAGAAAATTACTATAAAGTTTTTCAGAAATATGATCACTTACAAACAGAGATTGAAAAAGTATACCTATACCTTTAAGTATTGTTTGAAATTATCTTTGTTAAGAAGAGATATCAAGACAATATATGTTAAATATTGATCAATAAATAGAGTTTTTAGATTGAATTTTTGTGACAATAAATGTAATTGTATTTAATACTGTTTGTTCTTTAATACGACCAATGCTTTTTTAACGATATTTTTTACAAAAAATCTGGAGTAGCAAAACATGCGTATAAATTGTAAATTCTTTCTTTCTCTACAAATTCACATACAAATTGGTACTTTCATCAATAAAACTTTTCAATATCCTTGAGTAGGGGTCTGTTAGCGTGAAAATGTTAAACCATGAAAGTTAATTATGATGAAAACATATCAAAAGTAATCATTACCAGTAGGCCCTAATATATAATTATGGGCCGAGTTGACCCGAATTAGTAACGATTCGCCACACTAACGATTCGCCACATAACGATTCGCAACAGAGTAATAACGATTCGCCACAGTTAAATAACGATTCGCCACAGTATGATTATAGATCTAACAATGATTTTTTTTAGTTATCAACAAAATTTTTTCCTTTTGTTTTAATAATTTGACAATGACAATAATTTAATAATGTTTCTTAATACAAGTAACATGAACTTAAAGCCCCCATCGCGGATTTTCAATTTATCAAAGTAACATTATTACGGGAGTACATTTACAAGAAAGTAATTATATATGTTGATTAATCATAAACATAAATGTCAATTAATATAAGAAGAAGAGAAGAAATAGTTTATTTCGGTAACTTATACATTTACAGTATCTCGTTACATACAATATTTACAAATAGAATAATTCTGTGGTCACATGTATGACAAAAGCAAAGAAAAAATAATAAGAAGAACATAAAAAGTTTTAACTGATGACATTCTTACGGAGAACAGACAGCTGCAAATAAAGGAACAAAGAACATCACAATATCATTATCATTCATAGAAATAAAAATATATTTCATATATTATATATATGTCAAATAATTAAAAAAAAATATTGCAAAAACGAAAATTGATTTACGATAATTGATTAAAGAACGCATATCTAAAACATTTGTCACACCTTTTATTTTAACAAGCCAATCACCTTAAATTGTATAAATATTTAATTGACGCCAAAAATAATCCTTTAATTATCTGACAATGTAAGCAGATTTCAAAACAATGCGGCAATTAAGCTTATGTATGTAAATTTTGTAATAAAATATGTTAGTTATATAAAAAAACTTATCTAAAATGTGTACAGTAATGTAATTTTGGCAATAAAATATAGTTACAGTCATTACATTTTAAAACACACTAACAATAAGCTTGCTATAATGCGCTCATTTAAAAGATAGGGCAAATTTGTGGAAAATTTAGACAAGCTGAAAAATGTCGATTTCCGTCGTATGTAGGCAATGGCAGATTTAATAAGCCATATAAAAGCTATTTTTATATAATAAAACAGTTATGTACTTTTTAGCTTTTTAGCTGGTGAATATGATATTCACCAGCTAAAAAGGCCATATTTGTATATTAGTATATTTTTCCAGTTTATATCAATAACGAAATTATAAAATGTGTTATGTAATTTTGTTAATTAAATATTTGGTTTTCGTGTGTTTTTTATTCAATAAAAGCTTTATTCAGTGTAATTAATTAATGTAATTAACGAATGAAATATAAAATGGAAAAAAGTTTTCCATCAACAATTTGAAAACAGGTGTGAAAAAGTTTGTATTTGAACACGTGGCGAATCGTTATTTAACTGTGGCGAATCGTTATTACTCTGTGTCGAATCGTTATGTGGCGAATCGTTAGTGTGGCGAATCGTTACATTACCGTTGACCCGTGCCGAGTTGGAATAGGGCCGAGCTGACTCGAGGGCCGAGTACGAGGGTCGAGTACGTTTTAGGGCCGAGCTGACCCTGATTGAACTTATAACATAAACAACAATAGATATTTAAAAATCATTTCTTTTATTGCTCTGCGCGGAGCTATTTATGTTGACTATTTTTATCAATTATATGTTCACGGTACTTAACGCTTTGAAACCAGAAAGAAAACAACTAGATGTATTATAGTCTGTCTCATTAAAAATGGAAATGAACTTTTGCCTGGTATGAATTAACAAAACGACGTTGAATAAAAATTAAAACTTTTTTGTTCAGGGGCGGATATAGAACATGGTTTCCTGGGGGGGGCTGACAAATAGGTGGAAGATTTTGATAAAAATAACGCAACAGGCGAAAAATTGTGCACTTTTGTTTGAAGATTGGGTCAGCATCTTGTTCATGTAATAAAAATTGCAATTTGATGTGTTTTATAGGTCATCTTATGAGTGGCAATGCATATGTGTATGTGTATATGATATAGTATGGAATTAAGAAAATATATATGTAACTGGGGTGGGCCTGGGAGGGGTGTCCCCTCCCACAGACTGAGAAAATTTTGAAATATGAGGTTGAAAATGGTGTTATTTCCTTGACTTTCTAGTGCTGTTTATGGTACCTTTTGGATGATTTTACATCACACTGTATTTTGTATGCAAGGTCTTTCAAATAGAATTCCCCTGGTGTAGCATTGTATGCGCGACCATTGATAAAAATAATTTCAAACACTTGATCAATTTACTCATCTGAAGAATAGACGATTTTCCAAAGTAAAGTGGTATTAAAATATTGCCTTTCTATTGTGCAAAAACATAATTTCAAACACTAATATTCAATAAGATTTTTTTTTCCATCATTGAATCCAGAGGTCAGTACAGTTTAAATTTTATTTAAAAAAATATAACTGTCATAAAAAGTTACTAAAAGCAAATGACCAATATTTTCTTCTTGATAAAAATCTAAGTTAGTTAATTTCTTAGTTATTATAAAATGCGATTCCATTAATATTATCTTTATAAAACTCGCATCTTTTTAATTTACAAATAATAATTTTCAATTTATTAATTATAGGGCTTTCCTTAAGAAAATGGAAAAAAAAGATAGTTTAATATGGTGTACTTTTAAACATATCTATTTGCCACTATCTGTGACTATTAATTTCATTAGACCTTTGGAAAGTAATTAACCAATCAAGCATGTTGATAGATAAAGATCTCTGCCAAGCCCCCAGGCAGGAGATTAACAACTGGATGACAGCAATAAATGTTTTGATAAGGGAGTACACTACAGCCAATAAAGTTTGAAACTGACAAAAAATATGTTCCAGCCCAGCTGGTAAACATATCTTAGGGCCAAGCTGGGGGGGGGGGGGGGGGGGGCTGCAGCCCTGAAGCCCGGGCCTGAATCTGCCACTGTTGTTAATTGTGTTTGTACATTATTTTCTCAGGGTCGTTTCATATCTGCACAAATGTAACAATGTTTTAATAATGAGACGGATGAACAGTTTAAAAAAAACCTGGACCATCATATAAGTGTAGGAGTCAAAGAACTGGATAGAATTAAGGAATCTTCAGAATGCGAATTTGTCGTGATGTTTATAAAGATCTATTTCGAAGTTCATAGGGATTCTATGTATATGTTAGTGTTCATCCGTGCTGTTCTAAAGAAATTAGAAACTTCGACGGGAGCGATAGCGACAGGAGAATGTTTCTAATTTCTGTAGAACAGCCAAGGATGAATACTAACATATTTAGTGTCAAACTTTATTTGGCCTCATAATCACTCACTTTTAATATCACGTCACTATGCCGTTCTATGAAGTAGTATGAAAAAATAGAAGTCGACTATGAACGTAATTCGATATCATATCGACTTTTGTTCTTCTATGAAAATTAACGCACAAAATATTTTAAAAAATACAGCGTTTTCATTGGATGACAAATAAAGTTGGACACTAATCTGCTTACAAGTAAGTGCAATTTCTAGGTCTGTGACTCGATGTTCTTATTGCTTATTATTCACTTTTTAAAGTTTAATTTATACCTCATTTTCTTTCTTCCTTTCTTCCTTCCTTCCAAATTAATCATCATTATAGTATAACCACCAAAGACAAGTTACAATATTGCACTGTATAACATTAAAAAAAAAAGAAGCAAACGTGCTTAAGATTTTTAAAAATTTATTGTATTGCAATAAAAATCAAGAACAGATAAAATAATATATATATATAACTATATGATTACACATATCAGAGACATAGATAACAGAGATAGGCAACTTCCTAGCCAGTTAAAATATCACGCGTGCCTGCTTAACTTAAAAATAAGTGTAGCCAATAAAACTTATTAACCAGATATCAAAATCAGTAAAATGATATATTTTCTTAAAGCTTATGCATTTGTCTATGGCTGCAGGAAAAAATTTTTACAGTTCCCATTTAAATAAATGATACATCAATTTTTAAAGAGAACTACTGAATAATTTTTGTTACAAAACTATTCATATGACCAAAAAACTGGCTCAGTTCTGCTATATTTTTCTAAGTGAAAGGTATGGAAAGTTACCAATATTTTAACATGCAGCAATAGATAAAAGATTTACCTTTGAAATGCTATATAATATTAAAGGATCAAATGTACATCCATTAAGTTTTATTTGCTACAAAATGCCTAATTTTTCACTTTTTGATAGGCATGAGTGATATTTCAATGGAGTATATAGGAGCTGCTTATCTCTGTTATCTATGTCTCTGCACATATGTACACTGTATAATTGAAGAGCAGAAGACAAAATCACATTAATCATAACATATAAAGATAAATTAAAATTAGCAAATGACTGAATACAACATTATCAAAAATTTTGATACATTATACTGTTATACAAGTATACGTCCATGACCATACATTGCACAACTCAATGGGAATATCACATAATTTTTTGCCACATGACATTGCTTGTTTTCAATGCAACACTTTGTTTAAAAGTTTAGTAACATTTTATATAATATTTATGGCAACTTATGTGAGATCCTATATTTCTATAACTGTACGAAGACATTGTTATTGCATAAATGATATATGACTGTGTTTTTTCAGAAAACTTGAAGTTAGTGTGACCATAGAAAACTTATGTCCCCACTTCATTAATTTTGCTCCCACAGTTACATATTTACAAACATGATAGGTAACTAAATTTTTGGATGAAATATATATTAATACACTAAAATACATATAAATACACATAATAAACATAAATATACATCAATACCCATAATATACATCAATATACATAGACATAAACAAGAAGCAAGATTTAAAGTTTTGTACATGTACTTAAAACTAAAAAAAAATTAAACTTAAAAAAAAGAAGAAAAAGATTGTAATCAGTCTTATCACAGCATGGACAATGTACAACATAAGTAAAGGCAACTGTATTCCTGTATGGACACCTTATTTATCCAAGCCTCGAAGTATTTCAGAATATTAGGAATTACTTTCTTATTCTCAATACTGGCCATTGTATTACATGCATTGTAAAACTTATTTTGAAAATCAGAATTATGTTAAGAAATATTCTCAGGTGCCAAACAGTCCAATGTTGCCGACCATTTCTCCAGAAGTTTCGTAAAGTCTTGCAGCAAGTTCTCTACAGTGATTGGCAATAAACTGTGCATTTGCCAAGCCTACATGCATCATGAATAGTTCTATACAGTGAATGTTGTTTATCACAGTATTTGGGAAGCACTTGTGGGTAAGGTATCTGAAATATATATAAATAAAAATGTGCTTTAAAATAATAGTTTGAGATTGATTCTAAATATTACCTTAGTTTTTTGTAACAAGATTTAGTATTTTAGTTGTACTCAACAATGTATTTTTTCCGATCTGATCAAGTACAGTACGACCCTAGTGAAAAATAGTTACTCCATATTCGGATATGTATTGTATTCATTTCGAGTACAGCAAAATGTCATCTTGTCTTAAAGAAGCAAAGTTAATGTTGAAAATCTCAGGATTTTATTAGTACAGTCGGTTAAACGATTAACACGATTAACAGGTTACTGTAAGGTTAGCCTTTTTTCTAACCATTACACCCTTAGTTCTCAGTGTGGAGGTAAAGCCTGAATTTTATGCATTTATGCAATACTAACACTATAAAGGTTTACTTTCAAGCTTAAAATGAATGGCCCGGTAGGATTTAAATCAACAGAAGGTTGATATCGGCTAATTAAATCAGACAAATATTGAGGTTTCATTACAACATATACAGAAAAATTGCCTAAATCTACAAAATACCAAAGCAAAGATGTGTCACACAAATTCTAACTTTGTATTGAATATATATTATCTAAAATAATGAGGTATCTATGGATACATCTTGTTACATTCTGAACTCACTCCAAAAAGTTGATCAATATATCTACAGATGTTGTTTTGGTTCACAAGAAATCAACATGGCCAAGTGGTCAACGCATTCAGACAATTAATCTAAGGATTGCTGACCACTTGAGTTAAAACCCCATCAGGGGCAAGGTATTGTTTCTGTGAGCAAGGAACTTTACACTCATTGTTTAGTATTAATTGACTCCAGGGACGGATTGGAGAGTGTTTCAGTAAGATTAAAGCTTCAAACATAATCAAACTTAAATAATAAATTACAATGTATAAACTAAGAAATCATGAAAAAATACAAGAATCTCATATATGAGTTTAAAATCATAATTTGAGAGCTATTAAGAGTGTGAGAATGACTTACTTGTAGAAATTACCAGTGAGAATGCCAGGGGGTGGAGCTGTACAATCTGCCCTGTATGGTTTCTGAATCACCTCTGGTACACCCTAATAAATTAACAATAAATCATAAAACAGAAATATATAAAAAAAAATTTTGTTTTTGTTTAAATGTTTGAATTATTTTCTTTTGAGGTTACATTTAAGTCTTTGTAAAAAAAAAGGTGAGGGTGAGAGAATTCAATTATTAAAATTCAATGTAAAGATTTAATTCGCTGCCTGCCAGTTGACAACAGATTCTACCAATGAGACCAGTGAAGAACAGTATCAGCCAGTATATCTGTGCCTTCTGATCATGGTCTGCACTGTACATGTACATATTTTGTAATTTTCCCCAAATATTATGAATGGTTTTGACCAGATTGAAAAATGGAGAAGTCCATTTATGATATTTAGTGTGGTTAGGGTACTGTACAGTGTACCGTAATATAAACCGTAACCTTTACTAATACCTAATTTCTAGTGAACTTTAAACAAAAATGTTACCACAGCAACTATATATTATTTTCGGATCAGCATTGTGTGACTTAAGTTAGGGACTTACTGAGGAATTTTCAAACCAGAGGAAATAGGAGAAATGATAATCTCCTTCTCGAGCCGTAATGGTCACATGACCCTCGTGTAACTTTTTCTGTATCCAACTGGTCATACTCCAGATCTGTGCTCATGAAAATAAAAGAAATACAGTTATATAGTTATTTCATATTTGTTTTGAGAATAAGATAAAATGTTACGATGCCACCATATTACAGACGATTTACATTAATTTTTTTAAACACCATAGTGTGAAAATAATTTAAACACCATCTATTAAAGCTGCTTTAAATAAATATGTAAAAATATTTTGCTGTCGGCCTAAAAACCAAGCATTCTACAGATTCATGAACCATTTTAACAGTATTGTAATTCTCATCAAATATTGTTGATAAATTACGATTTTAAACAGAAAATCCCATGGCAACACCAAAGTTCGTATACGAATTTTAACATGCAAATGAAGACTAGAATCATCTTGCGTATGCACAACCTCACAGTGTTATAGTTGCTATACTGAACACAGCAAATAATCTAAGGTAAAGTTTAGCAAGTTTATTTATGGTTTCACCATCAAAACATTATCTAAGCTGAAAAATCATTGTCACATGACCTATATGATAACAATATGACCTCAAAAATTATTATAAGTTTAATTCGATAATTAATTAAATTAATCAATGTTCAGCTAATTCAGATAACCACCATAGAAAATCAAAAACCTTTTCTTTGAGGAGTTGTGTTGCATCATGGGGCGTGTGGACATCTTCCTGAGTTATATTAAGAGATGGGGCCATGATCTGATTGGTCCGTCTGTTAACATAGATGAAATGTACAAGCCCTGGGAAATCCTCTATATATGTATGGTAGGTTAAAGAATCATTATTACATAACAGTTAGTATAGATGAAATAAACAAATTAAATAATGACAAACCCTCTTCATATTGTAAGTTTGACAGAGAACAACTGATTAGTTTATACGACAAATTTATTTCAAATGTAGCAATGAGTATAAAGTTTCTTTGTCACAGCAACAATGGCTTGCCTCTGGCGGAGTGATAGAAAAAGTGGTTGTTTGTTAAAAGGGGGAATAAAATAAGCTTTAAGGAGTGAAATTTATTACATGTATTTACATTTTTCTATTTTTCTTTGATGTTAAAGTTGACATTAATAATGACAACATTCTTATATAATGAAAAACTATGTATGGTTTATAAAATTGAGAGACGATCCCAATGAAGGCTTAAATGGCTCAAATACATAAAATCAACCAATTAAAAAAGTTAATTAATGTATATATAGCTTATATCCTATGACATGTCACTATTTTATACCAGTATTCTAGAATAGTTTTAAAAGGATATGTTGTCATAGTGAAGTTTCTCTGAGCTTTCACTATAAGGTAGTTCTTATAATCACCCAAGTGTCTGATAAATAGCTCTGTTGCTGAGGTCAAGGCAGTAGTAATTTGTGGGGTCAAAGGTCGTGGTGACAGGTAGAGAAATAGGAAAACCTCTGTTAGTCTATTATAAAGGTACTTCAATGATCTTTCCAAACTGAAAAATATCAAAAACACATCTTTTCATTTGCATATAACACTGGTTTACTTGTTTTAGATAGAATAGGCTGCATTTCTGTCTTAATATATATTTATACACTCTTTTTTATTCTTTTTTTTTTGGTTTTACATCACATTGACACAGTATATAGGTCATATCGCGATGTTTCAGCTTTACTGGTGGAGAAGACCTCAGGTGCCCTTCCGTGCATTATTTCAGGCACGAACGGGCACCTGAGTAGAATTATACACTCTTTAATAAATTACCTTTCTGTTCTAAGTAAAAAGGGGAGTGATGGCCATGTGATCAAAGTGTCTGCCTAATAATCAAGGGTTTGTTGATTTCAGCCTTTTGCCCTATATATATGTTGCCAGTACTAAAACATGTACTTACTACAGCCCTCTTTTTCCCACCCCTCCCCATCATTTCTTAACACAGGAATTCTGCTCTTAAATAACTCTGTATAATAAGGTTGAATTTTGTTACCTTTGGGATATTTCTGCTCTTGAATTCTGCTCTAGGTAAGCTAATATTCCTCCATGCACATCATCACTTTCCCATTTCTTTCTTATCTCTGTACATATCTTGTCTAGTGGATTCTGAAACAAAATGTAACATATTCTTAACATCAGTTGATTATAACACAGAAAAAGCGGGATATAGGAGGTGCAAAACGACCAACACCAGGGTAGATTTAGTTGATTATAGTAAAGTTGTGACTTGTTACCTTTTTTACCTGAACAGTTACTGAGGTAAATCCAGTATGTGAACTTAAAACTGATTAATCTTGGCTGAAAAAAGTTTATTTTATAACTGACAGGAAATGAAAATATATACAAAGCTATATAAAACAAAAGGTAAACAATGTTAAAAAATTACACGAAAGGTAAACAATGCTGAAAAAATTACAAGCATTTACATTTGAATTTTACTTAAACTACAAATTTTCACTGTTTATATCAAATTAATTAAAGATGGTGTTTGAATTCATATCAACACTTTCACCACCTTGGTCTATAGAAAAAAGTCAAACATTACCTTAGCTTTACGTAGTGAAAAGAGAACCTTGGAAAGTTGAGAGTTAATAGCATCATAGATTATCTGCCCTTGTATACGGCCAATTGTATCCTTGTGTCCATTAATCAGGTCCTTCAGTAACTGTAAAAGCTGAACAAGTCTTGGGGCCTGTGACAGCTTGGGCATCTAAAAATAATTCAAATATCTTTACTTCTATATACATAAAACAAACTGACCTTTTTCCTGCTGAATTTTTAAGTAAGGATTTTTATGCATTAAGTAAGAACTTTTTTCCATGTGAAATAGTCTATAGTTTTGTATAATTATAAGAAATAATTAGATATCAAAGTTTAACAAAAGCTGTCAGTAGGACAGCATGTTCAACTATTTTCAGTGCTTGTCAGTAAAATAAGAGACTGGATAATGTAAAAATCAATAAAGAAGAAGATTTATTCACAAACATACAAATTAGGTACATGACATAGTTATGAGTCTTGGGAGAGGAACAAAAAAATCTTCAAAAAGGGCCTCATTTCATCAAAAATCCATGCCAAATTTATAGGTCTTGGAAAGTAACCTTTTATTGTAATTCAAAAAGCATGTATCAAATTTCAAGTGAATACCATTAATAGTTTTTGAAAGATTAATGTTGCAAGCAAAACTTAAACCGAAAGTTTTTATCTTTTATATTACTACACTGATTCTTGGACAATTTCCAAAAATTTGTTTACTTGAAGACTTTTGGTATCCTGTCATACTCACACAACTAGTCTAAAAATTCTAATAGAATTCTTACGAACATAATAGGCTAGGTCTTAAACAAAAATGTTTATCTGCAGCATAACTTCACCATGTATAATACTGCACATTTCACAAAATTGTTCAAATATCATTAATCCAAAGTTGGTTTTTTCTTTTCTTTTAAAGGCAAATTATGCCTCATAAACAACTATTTGTTTGACTTCTTTAAAAAGTGGAAACATGAGGTTTTATAATGTTTAAATAATAGTTTTTAAGAGCATATTACATGTTTATCACCTGGAAAAAAGTAGCTCTGAATGTGAAAAATAAGAAAACTGACAAACCTAATAAAGCGAAACATGTATTGATATCTAAATTTGTGTTGGTTTTCCATCTATTTGTCCTAATAATAAGATAATGCAGATCAAAATATATTTAATTACATATTTGTTAAACAGACTGATATTTTTTATGTTTGTTTGTTTTTCAATCCGATTTTAACACGCTTTTAGTTATATCTCAGCAGTCTATCTACTGAACTGGCTTTCCTGGAAAACTAACCAGTAATTACCAATTTCTCCACCGGTGACTAGTAATCCCTCACAATTTCTGAATCTGTGGTGACAGACAAAATGACCATTTGACTCAATCAATGTCCAAGATCAATTATTGTCAATGACAACTAATGCTTCCCCGGAGGACCGAAACAGGTAACCCCTATATTAGTAATCGGATGCATAGGTTGCTGGTTCAATCCTCAGGAAAGGCGTAATTGAATGACAAGTTTAACTGTAATATTAGAATATATACCTCAGTCAATACAACAAGGATAATTCCAGGAAATATTCTACGACAGTGTATCTGATATGGGGAGAATTTACAGATTGATGTTGATAAGAACACTGCCTGTTTAACACAGTCCCTGTCCTCTTCTGTGTCCGGAAACAAGCCATCTTCTTCAAGCTCCTCTTTATTCAACCGTACATCAGATGAACTTCTTTCACTGCACAAGTGACTTTCTGTTAAAACAGATAAATTTATTTTTATCTATTTTCTAAGTTATAAGAATTTAACATTACACTGCTTTTATCATATTGATACTTTTCCAGCTTTCAAAGGGGGAAAAAACTTGCCCTAATTCATTGCTTAAGGAACAAACAGGCACCGCAATCAAACCATTAAACTTCCAAAAGATATCCTGTTTTGTTATGTATATACAATATATTTATAGCTTTTTCTCTCTCTCTACAGAAGAATGTTAATCCTGTTACCACTTAATTTGCATAATGGACTTGTCCAGCTTTGAATTTGGATTTATCCATTGTTTTATACGGGGGTTTCATAGTCAAAATGTTGAACAGCAAGGTCAGAGATTATACATGTACTGGTAACATAGGAAAGCTCCTTATTGCTTCTAAGTATTCGCAAAATACAATACTGCAATATCTGATAGCTCTGATTATTGACAAAACTTTCTACAATTCTTACAACTCCTACTGGAATATCATGCTTTTACATGAGTGACTTACCTCCCTTTCTAAAATCAGGAATTGCAAAATCATTTGACATTTGGAGACGTGACCATGACAGTGTAATCAGGTAAACATTCAATATTTACATTAATTTTCAGCTTTTTTAAACTCTGTTATTCTTTGATAAATAAATTTATATTTAGTAGTACATATAGATAATTATTTAAGGTAATTTTATTAATTTTCTTGGTTGAGCTGGTGCCAATATGTATAATTAATGAATTTACAATCAGGCTCAAGGTTACTATATTTGACATCTAGACTTGTTTACTATAAAATTCTTCAAAATTAATAAAAAATATGGTATGTAATTAATGAGAAACAAGATCATGAAGATAATGTTTAAGCATGCTTGCAAATTATTATACAAGTTAAAAATAGATACACTATCATCATTCTTACTGAAATCAATATAAATAAATGATAAATGATAATAATAATAAGTAATTGTTTCTGCATATTTTTCTTCATTAGTCGGCAAAGAATAACCAGGATTTTTGCTATTAATTTCATGATAATATGATGCAATTTCTGTCAGATTTTTTAAAATTTTATTTAAGGGGCATCCATGGCTGAGTGGTTAAGGTTGTTGACTTCAAATCACTTGCCCCTCACTGATGGGAGTTTGAATCCCAATAGGGACTTTGATTTTTTTTTCATGCGAGGAAGCTATCCAGCTTGTTTATGAAACATGGGTGGTTCTACTCACATGCCTGTTTGTGCCTGAAATAAAGCACGGAGGGGCAACTAAGGTCTTCCTCTACCAGTAAAGCTGGGAAGTCACCATATGACCTTTACTGTGTTGGTTCAATGTAAAACCCAACAACATGTTATACTGGCTCTGGTAAAGTTTGTTGATTTTTTGTTTGTTTGTTGGGTTTTACCTCACATCAAGTGCCAGTGATTTGAAGTCAATGACCTTAACCACTTGGCCACGGACGTTCCTTATATGCAATTTTTCATACATAGAATGATATTCATGTAGAATCATAAATTTCCTATCATCTAACTAGTTACGTTAGTTATTATCCTTACACATGAATTAGAGTTATTGATATGTAGCCGGAACAGCTTATCTTTTCAGTCTAGCTAGTATCTATGTATATAGTTTTCAATCCAGTTTCAGTATTCTGATATTAAATACAATTAAACTGTAACAATTGAAAGTTCTACAAATCACATTAAACCATTCATACAGTATCACAAAAATATCTCAGTATTTCAATTTCTAAATCTCTTAACTAAACTAACAATGCACTATTCTGAAATAGTAAAATTCTTCTAAAGCAAGATCAGTCAGGAAAGACATATCACTTATTAACATAATAAGGTTTTGCTGAAATTTTGAAATTTAACCTATCTTTCTTAAATGGACATGTCTAGCTTTGAATTTGGAACATAAGTTGACATAATGTCAATATCAAAATACAAAAATTGATCTTATTAATGCTGCTAGCTGTGTTTATGGTATAAATTGAAAGTTCATGTAGAATATTTCAACAATAAATAAATGATTAATTGATTATTTAAATTTTCAATCAGTAAGAATTTATCCATTGGTATTGCATAAATAATAATGGTTATAAAATAATGCTATGTTTTAATTTTTTTCCTTGCAGAGAGTGTGATGCATGTATCATGGAGGTATCAGGAAGGAAGGTTGCTGGGAACTTGTCAAAATACTTTTTTCTTGGTTCTGAAGAAGATCTTCAACTGTTCTGTGTACCATGTGACAGAGACGGTCCTCGTGTCACAGCATATGGTTACTGCAAAGACTGTGACGAACATTTGTGTGAAACATGCTACAAAGTTCACAAAAAACCAACCCCATGTAGGAAGCATGTTCTCCTAGGTAAAAATGATATGCCTCAGACACCAAGCAAAAAGCTTGCTCTGTCCGACAGTATATTTACACTACGTAATAAAACGCAAAAAGTGGCTCCGACCCAGAATGATCAAGCAGAAAAATGTCATCTGCATCAAGGAAAACTAGTAGAGTACTTCTGTTGTGATCATAAGTTCCTCGGTTGTGGACCATGCATCATGATAAATCACAGATACTGTAATGTGAACTATATTCCCGAGGTTTTCAAGAACTACAAAACAAATCCTGATTACATTTATTTCAAACAGTCATTAATCAACTTAAAAGACAACTGTAAGAGAATGAGTGAAGACTCCAACACACAAAAGATCAAGCTGCAGAAAAATCAAACAGCTCTTCAAAATGGAGTTAGAAAATTCAGACATGAAATAAATATGATGTTAGACAAGTGGGAAACTGACATTAGTCTGCAATCTGACAGTATTTTTGCAGAAGAGAATGCAAAAACAGATTCTGTAGTAAGTGCTTCAAACAAACTTCTAAAAGATATCCAAGAATTGATAGATAACTTTAAAACACTGGAAAAAGAAAAGAAAAACAATGCTATACATGTTCAAATAAAAACAAAAACAGGACTTGTGAAACAGTATAAGGCAATCATCAAGCAAATGCAAGAAAAGACAACTGACAATCACTATACATTTGAACCAAATCTAGCAATACAGAAGATGTTGAAGCTGGTGACAAACTTTGGCAAGATTAACATTCAAACTAAGTCTGGGTCTCAGTCTCAAAGTTCCTTGCATAAAGACTACCTTAAAAAACTTCACAACCGGTTATTCAAAAACAAAAGGAGAAGACTTCAACCTATCGCAGAAGAAATTAATGAAGATAATAATGCTAATGACATAATAGATGTAGTTGACTTGGAACAAATTCTTACAGAAGATAGCAGTGAAGATAAGATAGAACCAACAATTCAAGAAACTGTGTGTGTAAGTAGTGCAGTGAAAACTCAATCTGAGGAGGTTGAGAAACATACAGGAGGGGCTTATGCTTATGAGAGGCTTGAAGCTATACCAGCAGGTGATTTATATGTAAGAATACCTACCGATAAAATCAGATGTAGAAACAAGGCTATTGCAATAGTTGACAGGGATCAAATAGCTGTGGCCGACTCGGAAAATCTTGCTATTAAACTAATAGACACAAAACAAGAGAAAGCAATTTATGACAGAGAGGTATCTTCGAGGCCAAATGGTGTGACTATTGTACCAGATCAACTTCTTGCTGTAGCTCTACCAGAGGAGAGTAAAATCTTGTTTTTATCAATACCTGACAGGTTATCGGAAATGTACCACTTAAAAGTTGAAGGAAGATGTACAGATCTGTCTTACTTGGATGGAAAACTTGTTGTCACTTACCAAAACCCAGGCAAAGTGGAGATCATGGATCTAGAAGGGCACATTTTCAGATTAATACAACAGAATACGCATGGAGCAAGTTTATATGACGATTCTAGAGTTACAACTAGCACTGATAACAGTCATTTCTTTATTTCTGATAGGTTCTTCAAAAATGTGAAATGTTTTGACAAGAATGGTAAACTAAAGGGAGAGTACAATGATAAACATCTGATAAGACCATGTGGAGTTGTTGCCCTTGATGATGGTTCTCTCTTGGTTTGTAATAGCAGTAGCCATAGCATCCATCTTGTATCACCAAATTTGCAAGAAGATCGAGTTTTGCTGAAAAAGGCTGATGGAATTAAACATCCTTGGTCAATAGCCACTGACAAGGAGCAAAGCAAGCTTTATGTTACAAGTGTAGACACCAGTGATCATATTAGTGTGTATGATTTAAAATTTGCTATGTAAATATTCTGTATCACTTGCAATTTGTTAGTATATACACGTATAACATGTAAACGCCTCTAAATGTGTTATTGTAAAGCTGTTTTTCATGCCATCTGATCATGGTATGCACTGTATGTTATTCAAGCAGGGATTATTTTAAAATTTTCACAGTTTTGTCCATTTAAGATATTTAGTATTGTAAGGGTTAAACAATATCAATTCATTAAAGAAAAGAATTATTGAATATTATTTTGGATGATCAAATATTAAGAGTTTCTGAAATCTACATTTAAAACAAAATCAAATGTCAAAAAGAAAATATCAGGTTGATCTGATAGATCAAATATACTAGTATACCGGTATATGATCAAATAAACATGTATATTTTGCAGTAAAATGTTAAAGTGTATATTTTGCAATAAAATGTTAAAGATACTGGTTGGGGGCCACCAAAACCGGACAACCATCAAACACGGTCGGCCCCGAAAATGCTTAATTAAAATATTTTTCTTTGTTCATTGGTTGTCCATTTATCAGTCACTTTATAACAACAGAAAAAACAGTCTTTTTCAAAAGTATGTGAAATTTTCAACTTTACACATTTGAATACATGGTGTCATTAAAAAAACTGACAGTTATTTTAAGAAGGAAAAAAAACACATTAACCTGACGATTAAAAGGGAATGTAGTTTCCAAAACATAGTTTTGCATTCTCTTATTCAAATAACTTATTCAAATTTGGCATAAATAATTGCATAGATTTCAATAAAATTCTGCAATAAAGGTATTTTACCCTAAGATGAGCATAGTATATCTTTAATTCTAACACTCCTCTTGATTTTGTCACTACACACAAAGAAGCTGTTATGTTTTTCCCTTGATAAGGTAGTTTACAAAGCCTATTTAAGATAACAATAATAATGCATTTTCATTGATATTTTCCATTCTTATTATTTTTTCTTTTCATATGATGCCAACAGGTTTGATCCAATTAATATAAGACAAAGCGGCGCCAATTTGTAAGCAGCATAATGTCATCATCCTAAGTATGTAACTCATTTATAAAGGCACCAGAATGACATCATTTCAAAATGACATTGGTAGGGTTTGAAGAATGATTAATCAAGCACTGATGTAAACACAATCAGTCTGACACATATGTTTAAATTGTTGAAAACTTGATAAAATAATTCTTGAATAATAAGGTGAAACATTTTTCTTATTATTTCTATTGTTTAACAGTTTTTATACTTTGGCAACAGTAGGGTGCGAAATCAGCAACAGAAGTAATCTCTGCTAGAAGAAAAAGCAGAAGTAATTTCCATTATTTTGTTTTGTTATAACCAAAATATCGATCTGAGCAGTGTTTTTATCGGCTATTTAACACCAATTTTGTTGTTTTGATAGGAAAAAAATTAACCACTCAGCCCTCCGGCCCTTATTGTCAATTCCTTTCCATCAAATGTCCAAACCAGTGTTAAAATAGGCAACAAACACTGCTGAAACTGATATTATGTCTTTATTTAAAAATAACAAAAGTCACTTTATTAGAATGTGGAATTGGAGAACGAAATCTCGATTATATATTTCAATACAGATCATTGAAGCTGCAATACAAACCTTTTCTTAAATCATCACATAGACTTGAGCTCCGACCTCTCCCAGCTGTCATCTGGGTTGCCTTTTTTCCTAATTGTTCTTCCACCTCACCCAGGGTATGACTTCTTGACCTTACTGAACGTTCCCCTTTAATACTGTTTACCGACTTAAACAGGTCTAGGGTCTTCTTCAAATCTTGTGATTTCTGGGTTGTAATGTTCATGGCATGTAAGGTTGTAGGTGATGTTGTAGGTGTAACATAATTCTCCGACACCTCAGGGTATGGTGTTTTACCTCCATCTGTTCAAAAAAAGTTGAGCCGCGTCACAACAAAACCAACATAGTGGGTCTGCGATCTGCGCAGTCTGATCAGGATCCATGCTGTTCGCTATCAGTTTCTCTACTTGTAATAGAGATGGTAAGCGAACAGCATGGATCCTGATCAGACTGCACGGATCTGCAGGCTGGTCTGGATCCATGCTGGTCGCAAACCCATTATGTTGGTATTGTCATGACGCGGCTCAAGTTGTTATAATTATGTAACAAATCATTCTTATAGAGTTTAATAAACCAAGTCCATAATATAAAGAATCTCTTAACATACTGGTAAGTTTATGCTTAAAAAACTAAATCTGAATTTTAAGTGTGACATTGTTATAATATCTTCATTGTTGTTTAAACCTTGAGATATGTTTAAATCATCCTAACAGATTTTTGCAAAGACCCGCATCTTCTCATGAAGTTATTGATATAGCACATTAATTTGATATTTTAATAGTGTTGGTCAAAATGAAACTTGTGCTTGGTGTAAAGGTCAGCATTTTTTTAACTTACAGTTGTGATAAAGATATAGGAAAATATGCTGATTTTTTTTTAAGTAACCTGTAAGATGTGATTGCTTGTTTGACAGTATTGCCATCAGATTCATATGAATTAATTCATGTTCAGCTAAACTTTGTACATGTCTATATTTTTCATGCTTGTATTCTCACTGTATAACTATAACAATATGCTTGCAAAATACAAGAAACAAAGATACAAGACTTGTATTTATCTCTAACGTCAATAATGCTACAAAATTACCATTTGTCATTTATGATATAGCTATTTATCATGCAACTGCTATGGTAACTGCCCAATAACACTTGCCTGATAATTATTTTTGATATAAGGTCAGTAACCTGATATCAAAAATAAGCCCCGCCCATTTTTAACAGACTTTTTTCAATTGCTTATATTCTCATTTTCATCAGCATGTGAATTCTACAATGTAATCTCATACCCTTACAAGTCTTGAATCAAGATGCTACATTTATTTATTTATTATTTCAATTGCGATTTCAATTACGAATAAATTAGATACATGTAGCGAATAGTTTTAACACCAACTAAATGAAGTGACATCATAATTTATATTGCAAATGACATCATCAATGTTCACGTCATACAATACATGTAATCATAACAAACAGGCTAGACGATTTTCTTTGAGAACTTGTAAATGTTTACTTTATTTTGCCAGATTATTATTTAATAAGATGAAGTGAACAAATTGTTTCGTTTTAAAAATAAGACGCATGTTTGTGTAGCTTGTGTTTGATTGCCGATTTGACTTTTGTTAAATATTGAAATAATCGTGAACTTTTGAATTTGAGAATTCAAGACAAAAAGTGCAGTAAAGTTTATGTGATTCTAAGGGATTTTTTGGATCGATGTTTAAATTAAAGGTAAGAATTTTATCGTGTTAGGCCTACATAATGCTACATTCTGTTGTATCTTTTAATTTTATCCGAGTCGAAAGAAAAAGTGGCCACCATTTACAAATTCTAAGTTTCAGGGGTGGATGAATTCGTATTCAAGAATTATTTCTTTGAACAAAAATCCCCTTTTTTACGAAATTCGCTATTTAAAAGTAGACTATTTTGTTATTTTGACAGTTTTATGTGTTAAATGATAAATAGAAAAACATGCTTCTGTCTTTTGATATCAATTTTATCAGGCTCGGCTGATATGGGCAGAAAGGGCTCGACAAGCCTCCCAAGATATTTGACAAACTAAGTTTTTTACATACTGGAATCAGAAGAACGGTCGACCGGTGATATTCCCTCTAGTGGAGACGAGCTATTGTCATCTTGATATTTGTTTTCTCTTGCACTGAAATACTGTAAAAAATATTCCCATCTTTTAACTAGAATCCACTATGAAAATTATTAGGAAAATAGAGGATACTGAATGAGTGTAGGTTTAATAATAAATTTATTGAACAAGTTAAATAAAATAATATTATGCAAGCCTCTGGCAAGCATAATTTTGTTTTATTCAACAAGTATCATAATTTTAGTATTGCATCTACACATATTTAACATTCTATTTAACACATATATGAAATAACTCGAAATAAGTATTCTATGACAATTCTATAACTAAGTAATCACTTCAATTCAGAATTTTTATAAGCTTTAACAGTTAACTGAAGAAATATGGTGATGAACCTAGCATGGCTTGCACCAACTATCCCTTGCATTAAATATATCTGACTTAAGAGTAAAATGCAATGGAAACAAGGGTAACACTCTACTTTTAATGTGGACATTATTTTTAACCTTTGTTTAGTTTAGATACGAAAGGATCATTATAAGTGTTACTTCATCATTTTCTGTTTCATCTCCAGTAGTGAAACCCTCTACGGCACTCTCGTATCTTTCTCTCTGTAGCTGCCTTACTGGCACTGTGGCCGGTGAACGAGCCTCGTACCTATCAAAATATAACATGTACTTCAAGTGCTTTTTATTAGAGTTTAAATTGTTATAAATGTATCAAAATATAGCATGTACTTCAAGTGCTTTTTATTAGAGTTTAAATTGTTATAAATGTATCAAAATATAGCATTTACGTCCAATGCTTTTAGAGTTTTAGGTAGTTGTTAATATGCATCAGACTAATAATCTAAGGATCACTAGCAATGTAAGATCAAACTCCATCAGAGGCAAGTCGTTGTTTCCTTGAACAAGAAACTTTACATTACACTCATTTCTCATTACTGGTTGGCTCCAGGAACCCATTTGAGAGTATGTCTATAAGCTGATATTTTCCTACACTATCAAACTAAAATAATGTCTGTATAAACTAAGAAATGACGGACTGTCTAAGGCAGAGTAGTCAAGGATGCTGACTTTAAAACAGCTTTCTGTATACTGCAGTTTAAATTCCTTCAATGACATTCAATTCTTTCATGTGGTAAGTTATCCAGCTAGAATTTATTAGACTAACATAACTGACAGAGAAACACCTGAGATCTCTATCAATAAGTAAAGCTAGATATTATTTGAGTTTTAAATCACACCAACATAGTTAAGGTCATATTTATTGCCACTTTTCAGATTTATTTGTAGGGAAAGTCTTCAGGTCCCCTTACATGCATTTTTTTCAGGCATGAGCAGGTACCTGTCTTCCATCCAAGGCCAAAGTAAAGCTAAGAAGAAACATAATACAGTCAACTATCGTTATCTCGACATCTCTTTTCTCGATATTTCGTTATCTCGATGAAATTTTGAAAGTCCCGATTTTCTTCCTTCTTAATCTTTATTGGAAATATTTGTTTATCGCGATATTTTTTATTTCCATATTTTCAGTATCTCGATGTACAATTTCAGCCCCAACAGTTATTTTCACACTATTATCCTTTGTTTATCTCAACTAATAGTTTTCTCTAGTCTGTTCCCTTCAGACGTGTGAAAAACACAAACTAGACGATAATTGCTCAATAGCGCGTGTCATAATGATGATTATGTTTGTAACATGTTTAGCTGTTTTAATAAAAGTTAATCTATTTAGGGTGTTGATTGACTTATGTCCAAAATGAGTAAATTTTACGTTCTTTATAAATATTCGAACACTGTATCAATTCAATATGACTTTAAATGTAAATGAAATAGTGAAAGTATAGAAACGCTATCGTTGCAATATTGTTTCACAACATCACCAGCAAATCAATCAGTGGTCGAACAACATCGAGAAAGACCCGATAACTAACCCGGGAGGATATCTGGATCAACCACCCTGAAAACAATGTTTTCACTATATTGGTGTATTACTGAGTAAACCTCACTATGTGTTTTTATCACAGAAACCCGTATTTCCACTGGTAAACTTTCCACTAATGTTACTTTGTTAAATATTGACTGGGCCTATGAAAACAAAACATGGGGATATCATAGTTTATTTGACATAAGGTATGCACATGTCTTTTGTAAAAATCAGTTTCTGCCTTATTCAAACCCAAATATGTTTATCTCGACATTTCGTTATCTCGATATTTTTTGGACGGTCCAGATGACTTCGAGATAACGAGAGTTGACTGTATATTAGATTAATCATACATAGTAAATTATAATACCTTAATGGTCCTTTACTAGTATCTCTATACGACTGAGCAAACAGGTCTTCAAGTTTATCATATGTTGGGAACAGACATCGAACCAGTAGTATGATACACAAAATGTCCGACGACTGCAGTTCCGGAGCATTGCGGCTACAAATAACGGCAGATCAATTGTAAAATAAAATCTTTTTTCAAAAATCACTTACTGAACTTTAATCAATATGTTAAACCTGTAATGTACAACTGATCACATGACTTTGTTGTATGCAAATTCTGACTATTCAGAGTGCACATGTATAATCTTTCTATATTTTTATTTAAAAAACATGCATTTATTCATTAAGTGGTAAGAAAGGGACAAATATTTAGATTAAATAATTAAATAACCTGACCAAAAGTACATGTATCAATTTAAAATATTAACTACAAATGTACATACAATCAATAAGAATAACATAAAATATTCCATACTTAGAATAGAGAGACAGCAGCTTGCTGTTGACAAGAAGTAATGCATGCTGGGTATATTTTTCTCCTGCCTCCTGGAATTTATTCACTGCAGCCTGGAGAATTTCAACACACTGCTCGCTCACAACCTGGTTCATATGTAATTTTTCCACAGCCTGTCAATTAAAGAGTTTGTGTAAATAACGCTACATGTTGCAATCAGACCATTTTACTTTATCTATTTATTTATTTATTTAGCATCTATTTATGATAATAATGAGCAAACAAAAATCATGATTGATATCTTCATATCTGTCCAAAGTTTCTGTTATCAAATATGTATTTCACTATGTTTTAACCTAAAGTTCAAGATGTTTTGATAAATAATAAAGAATATAAAAAACACAGCAAATGATTAAAATGACAGAGTTGCGCCACCAGTATTATATATAACCAAGCCAACCAGCATTATCCTTGTGGTCTGACCATACTTTATACTGTTACCTACTCAATGTAAAAATTCAGGAACTGCATGAAACACCTTAAATAACTTAGTGACAATAACATTAGTCCATGACACTGATTCAGTGGAATTCTGATTAATACATACTGTATAATTATCTGAATTGAGAGAGACATGTTTGCATGGAATATTTACCTCAACAAGAAAGGATTGCTCATGCTTTGCCAGGTAAGTCCATGTGGACAGTAGATGTCGTAGAAAACTCCACCTTTCCATTTTACTTGTAAACTGAGGCTTCCCAATCCTAAACACAAGCAAAACACATATCATTCATAGACAGACCAGCCCTTAAAGCTGCATGCCTCCCAGATGAGCCAAAATATTTCAAGAAAATCAAACTTGAGAAAAATGTATTAAGGTTTTATGAAAAAATAAAAACAAGAGGGCCATGATGGCCCTGAGGTCGCTCACCTGTATATAGGCCCCCAACCCCCACCCAACGTTGCAGGGCCAATTTAACCCAAGGGCTTTTATTTGCACAAACTCTGTAGACACCCATAAGAAGATGTTTCACGCTAAACATCTAAGCTCTATAGCTCATTGGGCTTTATTGAAAGAAGATTTTTTTAAAGTTTTTACTATACACATATAGTTAAAAACAATGACACCCCTGGGGCCGGGCCAGTTTTGACCCCAGGGCTTTTATTTGAACAAACTTTGTAGACACTTACTAGGAGATGTTTCATGCTTAATATCTAAACTTTAGCTATTTGGGTTTTTTCAAAGAAGATTTTTAAGTTTTTGCTATACACATATAAAGAAAATCAATGACCCCCGGGGCAGGGCCAATTTTGACCCCAGGTCTTTTATTTGAACAAACTTTGTAGACACTCACTAAAAGATGTTTCATGCTTAATATCTTAACTCTAGCTATTTGGGTTTTTCAAAGAGGATTTTTTAAGTTTTTGCTATACACATATAAGGAAAATCAATGACCCCCGGGGCGGGGCCAATTTTGACCCCAGGGCTTTTATTTGAACAAACTTGGTAGACACCTATTAGAACATGTTTGATGCTAAATATCTTAGCCATAGCTCTTTGAGTTCTTTAAAAGAAGATTTTTTAAGTTTTTACTATATGCATATAGGGAAAATCAATGATCCCCCGGGGCGGGGCCAATTTTGACCCCAGGGCTTTTATTTGAACAAACTTAGTAGACACTTATTAGAACATGTTTCATGCTAAATATCTTAGATTTAACTCTTTTGGTTCTTTAAAAGAAGATTTTTTAAGTTTTTACTATTTGCATATAGGGAAAATCAATGACCCCCTGGGGTGGGGCCAATTTTGACCCCAGGGCTTTTATTTAAACAAACTTGGTAGACACCTATTAGAACATGTTTGATGCTCAATATCTTAGCCATAGCTCTTTGAGTTCTTTAAAAGAAGATTTTTAAAGTTTTTATTATATGCATATAGGGAAAATCAATGACCCCCCGGGGCGGGGCCAATTTTGACCCCCCGGGGCGGGGCCAATTTTGACCCCCCGGGGCGGGGCCAATTTTGACCCCCAGGGCTTTTATTTGAACAAACTTGGTAGACACCCATTAGAACATGTTTCATGCTAAATATCTTAGCTCTAGCTCTTTTGGTTCTTTAAAAGAAGATTTCTTAAGTTTTTACTATATGCATATAGGGAAAATCAATGACCCCCCGGGGCGGGGCCAATTTTGACCCCAGGGCTTTTATTTAAACAAACTTGGTAAACACCTATTAGAACATGTTTCATGCTAAAAATCTTAGCTCTAGCTCTTTTGGTTCTTTAAAAGAAGATATTTTAAGTTTTTACTATATGCATATAGGGAAAATCAATGACCCCCCGGGGCGGGCCAATTTTGACCCCAGGGCTTTTATTTGAACAAACTTGGTAGACACCTATTAGAACATGTTTGATGCTAAATATCTTAGCCATAGCTCTTTGAGTTCTTTAAAAGAAGATTTTTTAAGTTTTTATACTATATGCATATAGGGAAAATCAATGACCCCCCGGGGCGGGGCCAATTTTGACCCCAGGGCTTTTATTTGAACAAACTTGGTAGACACCCATTAGAACATGTTTCATGCTAAATATCTTAGCCATAGCTCTTTGAATTCTTTAAAAGAAGATTTTTTAAGTTTTTACTATATGCATATAGGGAAAATCAATGACCCCCCGGGGCGGGGCCAATTTTGACCCCAGGGCTATTATTTGAACAAACTTGGTAGACACCCATTAGAACATGTTTCATGCTAAATATCTTAGCTGTAGCTCTTTTGGTTCTTTAAAAGAAGATTTTTTAAGTTTTTACTATATGTATATAGGGAAAATCAATGACCCCCCCCCCCCCGGCGGGGCCAATTTTGACCCCAGGGTTTTTATTTAAACAAACTTGGTAGACACTTACTAGAAGATGTTTCATGCCAAATATCTAAGCTCTAGCTCTTATGATTTTTTAAAAGAAGATATTTAAAGTTTTTTCTTTCGGTTGCCATGGCAACCAGAGTTCTGCATGGAATTAAATTCTTTGAACAATTTTTAAAGGTGACCACCAAAGGAACATTCCTGTGAAGTTTGGATGAAATTGGCTTAGTGGTTTATGAGGAGATGTCATTTAAAGTAAAAGTTTACGGACGGACGGACGACGGATGGACGGACGCCGGACGGACGCCGGACGAAAAGCGATCACAAAAGCTCACCCTGTCACTTTGTGACAGGTGAGCTAAAAAACTGAAGATAAAAGTAATAACTTCAATGTTATTTGCGATAAATGGCCGATTTTTCAGTAATTTTCACCATATTTCTACTGCAATACTTATGCAGTAAGGGCAAATTTTGCATATTTTGACCTCTTTTTGGTAATTTACATGGGTTGTTACTGTCGTTTGCAATGTGCATATTATTTTCTTTGTCAGCTTAACAAAATTTTAGTTTTTCATACATTTTCAAAATTTTCATGAAAATCAGCAGGAATCTGGAGGCAAGCTGCTTTAATGAATAACTAAGACCAAAGCACTACAGGTCATTATTTTTGAACCAGGTTGATTATTGTCTTCTCTGCCATGTATTAACCTCTCGTTATTAGCCAGGCTAGCTATTACATGTATGCGAATCACCAATAACCAGACTCGATAATCTTGGTTATTTAGTTTTATATTGTTCACTAACAATCTTAGAAAATTGGGAAGGTCAGTTTCAAAGGTCCATTACACAATTGTGTCTGGGAAAGGGTTAAAAAATATACTGACAATAACTTACTCTTCACTAACAGGACCCATTGTAAAACCAATCAGCCGAATGAAAACCAACGTCTTTCTAGTCAGAAAATCTTCAGACTCGGAGTTATCTCCATTTATAGCAACAATGAGATAGTCTTCAAACTGAAAACAAACATTTTCTAAATCATTTACTTAATTACAATTTAAACAAGAGCACTGCATAAGATGTTAATGCTCCTCTGTTAAAATAAACACTTTTTACAAAAAGACAATGTTAAAAAGGGGCATAACTCCAAAAATATAGCTTTCAGAAATATACATGTCTGCTGCTCGTCTTTCAACTTCACCTTGTCAAGATAAGCAAGTAATCCAAGTTTTATGTTGATAATGTTTAAAATGTTTGAATAATGGGCTACATTAAAGTTTTTGCATGAAAAAGCCACGATGATCATAATAGCAAAAGCAAAAAACATGTGATATAAATTCAACATTTTTTTTGTCTAATAAGTTAAGTCGAAAATCAAATATCCATCTAAGATGCATAAATTACCATCAGAGATTAGTATTTTATCATTATAATTCAAATGGACATGTATATAATTGTTTTATGCACTTTTAAAAAGTACAAAATGTTACTGACATAGCTAATTATAAGCATTTATTTATGAACAAATAGTTTGATATATATTTTCGACTAGATTTTCCACAGAATCTTTGTAGTAACTTTACCACAATACTATTGACATCATTAAAACATGTTTTTAACTTCACTTGTATAGAAGATGAATGAATGTAAAATCTGTTCTGTTCCATACTAAAATATTTTACTTTGTGTACATAAATGTGTCCCTTCTTTATCTTTTTGTGAGCAGGCCTTTAAAAAATACGATTTTCACATTATTTTATATGGTCATATAAACTGACAAAACTTTTTATAACTAAAAAACATAATATGTGCTAGGAAATATAAAAGTTCAGATACAGAAAACACATAAACTGACGTTAACTTACATTTCTGAATACAAAAAGAAAATCATTTTCACATATAATTGATGAACACGGATTCTTGGCATGATCTATCATAAACCACTGTGACATAAATAAAGGTGAAAACTGTTGCATTACAATATTCGGATCAACTGTGTATATATCAGCGTCATCATCCTGAAATAGATATTCAGATTAAAAACATGTAATTATAGAAACAAAATATATTAACTAGATCTATATATAGATATAGATCAACATTTCCTTTCTTCCAAATTCATGCAAACTAACCTTTTCCAGATCACCTAGTCTTTATTCTCTCACGAGTATAGATATCAAATAGTTACATAAATTTATATACATTTACTTGAGAGAATATTAGATAAGAAATATAACTTATTATTAAGTTTTTTATTATTAAGATGTTTTCATTATTAATAGAGATGCTGTGGTAAGATTCTTATCATTTAATTCATTTTCTTGAAATAATTTTTATTTGCATCGCTCAATTTTTGTAATGTTATATTTTATGTATTATCAATCAACTTCTATTATAATTACTAGTATGTATTTTTAATTATGTTTATCTGTCACAGGGTGAGAAAAATGTGCAGCCTGAAACCGGGAGTAAACCGGGACCTAGGGAAAAAATTTCTTCGGGTTACCTCTGAGCTATTCATCCACTTAAACAACCCTAATTGTTGGGAAAAGTAAACCTGGGCATACTCCCATATATTGAAATTTGTCCTCACATTTCTAATGGGTTTATATAGAGAACAATGTAATATTGGACCAAGAGCTATATACATTTTACCATAACGGCACCATGTTAAGCACCAAATGTCACAGGATGAGAAAAATGTGTAGCATGACTAGGAACTATTACTGTAAAATACTGTATCATGACTCTACCACTGAGCTTTCTGGCTGCATACACATTACCTACCCGAATAAGTGAACAGTTCTATACCCAGACATATCCATTAAATTTAACAAACCTATGCCAGGAGTTGTAGTTATTAATCTATCCTGTTATATACAAAAGAGAGGAAGAGCATAGTTCTGTTTGTGGATCGAGTGTCTTAACATTAATTTCATTATCAGATTATGGGTGTAAAAGGTCAAAATTTCTATAATATTAACATACAAAATACCTGTACGATACCTGAAGGAAAGTGGGCCAGGCGAAATAGCAAAGTTTATTAACATAAAAATCAGCATTTTCTCAAAACACAGTGGAGCTAGACAGGACTCCTTGAGGTATAAATGTATGTGAACTTGTATATATTCAAAATCCGAAAAGCGTCAGTCCGAGTACTAAGTAGCTTAAAAAGATTTTGTGAATTTATTTAGTTACTAACTGTTATAAGACCCAATTCTTTAGCTTGTTCATTTATGTGCCTTGCAAATTCTTTGTCTGTTTCAATAAAATGTATGTCATTCAACCTATCAACCACTAAAAACCCTTTCATATTTTGTTTCTAAAAATAAAACGAAACTGAAAGTAGGAAGTAGGTTGTGTCGCTAAATATGACATTCGAATGCAGAAAGAAAGTCATTAATAATGTTTGTGATATAGACGTATAACATTTAGTCCATAATTGAATATATCGAATTCTATTCTTAATTTCTAAAACAAATATCAGTAAAAATAAGAATGTTTAATAATACGTCAAATCGGCTTCAAAACCGGAAGTAAATAACAAGAACATTGTTTTAATTTTCTACTAGAAAATCCAGATAAATTTGTTATTTACCTGCGTTATGTGAGTTTGTCATTCAAGGAAAAGGTGTGAGTGTTTGTTTATACTAAAGTGTGCAACATATTCATGGGTCAAATATTTTCAGTTATCAAATGTTTGAACTTTTGGACACTTATTCTCCGGAGTTAAATAATACATGTACATGTATGCTTTTCTCTCGTCGATTCGTGACTCTTATTTGGAAAAATTGCACTTGCACAACAAATATCAGACATACATACAGTTCAATTAGTGCATTTGTTAAATAAATTCATTATCTAAAAGTTCACAAACTTTAAATTACTTCTAAAAACAACCGCTCAAAGATTAGAGCAACTGAACATGTCAACCATGACTGTCTTGCTCAGCTGGACGCTTACCCATCGATTCGTGAAATCCGATTCACCCTGTGACGTCATCAAAATATAGGTGCTCACACCACTAAATGTTCGCATGGTTATTTTCAGCCCGATCTGATCAATATATGTTTCAAAGTCTTAAGTAAATTCTTACAGCATAATGAATATTTTTTTGGCTTAAGTGTAAGTGTGTTTGATAAATTAAAACATTAATATCGAATATTTTAAAGTAATTAGGTCGCCAGCTGATTGTAGGGTAAGGTCATTTACACCTGTTCAATTACGCATTTTGATTGGATAGAATTGTCAAATCGAGTGTCTAATAAAACTTGTGTAGTTTTCGGATGGTGAATGTCCTTGCAGAAGTATTTATACCAGACAATTATTTAGGTCACGAATCGATGAGAAGGCACGAATCGATGAGAATAAGGCATATGTATTGTGGCTGATTTGGAACACTTTTGTGTATCATGTTTTGCTAGGTGACAGCCGCGTTGTCGTCTTGTTGCTAACATAGCATACCAAACGGCACATTGTCATGCGGTGTGTTGTCGTGATGTCACATTGTTGCTTGGCTCAAATAGAAGGACAGTGGCTATTTGTATAAATATAAGCCAAGCAACAGGGTGCCATGGCGACAACACACCACATGACAAAGCGCTGTTTAGCATGCTTTGCTAGTGACAGGACCAGACTTCCCAAAAGTTACAAAAAGTGTCAGACATTCGGTCTGACAAACCATGAAAATCTGTCAGACCGACACGAAATCTGTCAGACCGAATAAAATAAATCAAAATCAAAGGAAATCTTGTGTTTGTATTTTTAAGACACTTGAGTTTAATTTTTTTGCTGTAAAAATCTGTACAATCCATACAGCGCATTTTCACCTCCTCTCTGTCGTACACCAACGATTCACGGTCCTGCTTCCATTTTTCATTAAATTTTGTCTCAGGTCTATTCTCTTCATCCTTTTACTGCTGTTCTGCGCGCTCCTCTGACGTAGATTTTCGTTTTTTCCCTGGTTTGTCACATTTGCGGATAAAAGCAGGACCGACGTATTTCGGGAAGTCTGCAGGGCTACAAGACAACAGTGCGACAACGCACTGTTTGACATCTTTTGCTAGCGTCAAGAGGAAAAGGCTATATCGATATAAGTTGTGTTGTCGCTATCAACAACGCAACACCCAAAGTGTACCAAATCAGCCACCATATGTATGACTTTTGTCCCAGGTCATATAAACTGATTAATAAGACTTTGTGTTGTGATACAGTTGTTTAGACAGTAGCGGATTTTAGAGTATATGCATCTTATACTGGCTGATGGTACAGACAGGAATATCAAGATCAAGTGTAACCAGTGTCTATTCTAGGATTCGAAAAACAGGGAGGATTTTTATTGACAAGAGAGAATTTATTACATTTTTTTATCTTTTTCCTTCTTTCTCTATGTAAAATTTTCCCCCTTCCTCAGAAAAAATAGGGGGGAATTCTCAAAAATATGAGTGAATCCCCCCTCCTAGAATAGACACTGGTAACTTGCATTGCTTAGTTATCACTCCCAACAACTAATTGGGCAGTGTCAGTTTAAAAAAATGCAGTTAGTGGTTGGACTTGGAAAAAGACATCACTCGTTCAAAAACAATGTCTCTTTGACAAGTCTAGTTAGTAAGACTATTCCTGTCTGTGACCATAGTTTGTGTTTTATTCTTTTTCTTTCATATTACTAATAAATCATATTTCAGAATGAAATAACTAAAACTAATATGGTCATTTAGCATTTTTTTCTCATAGAAGCATGTGAGTTTAGAACTAATCATTCATAAGAGCAAATAAATCTTGAGAACAGCATTCACAATAGGTGCGCAAGAAAGAGGTCATTTAAAGCAGGTGTCTTGTCGTACATGGGGATTGTGTGACAGGTTTTTCTAGCAAATGTAGATAATCCTGTCTTGTTTTGTCCAAGAATAAAACGGATAGCTTCTTTTTAAATAGTAAACAATCAATTACCTGTTGTATACTGATTAAAAAAGTGGTATTTATGCTCTGTCTATAGTTTATTACATGTACATATGATTTTATTAATTTCAGTTTAAGAACAATGGATTGTTACTTGCTGACACTTTATGTATCACTAGAGCAGGAACTGGCAATCAGAGAATTGTTTGTTTACAATGGATGGAACTTCAATAAATATCAAGGTACAGTCAATGTGTTATCAATGTATTTTACTGGGATTATAAAAAGATTTCATAGTATTTACTCTCAAAGAATTCTTTCAGCTTACTCAAGGCTCTAATAGAAGCACCAAGCATATCCTATAGATGTTCTTACAGTTTTAAATTAGATACAAAAGAAATAAAACTTTGATAAATATGTCAGAGTTGTAGTGCTATGAACTTCAAAAAAAGTAACAGCTTTGTTCTTAAATTTTTATTGCAGGTGCTGTGAAATAGTCATTTTCTAGTAAAACACTTCCTAATTCAATTGTAGTTTTAAAGAGCCGTTTATCTGCTGCAAAAATTATTGTTTGAATTTTGAAAAAGAATATTTTCCAAAATGTTTGTATGAAACAAATATGAGAGTAAATTGCCTTAAAAGCAAATGCATGAAACATTTGCTAAATGGATGAAACCCTACTTAAACTAGGAGAATATTTTGTTCTGGATCACTTTATTCTGTTTACGTACAATTTTCATGTGTGTTGAATAACAGACATTCTATGTAACAACTCTTAAAACATCAACCATAAGGTTATGGAACCAATATATTTTTACTGTAGAAAAAAATTATGAAAATATTTTATAAGATATAGCTTTATTATTCTCTTTAAGCTTGTAAAGTTGCATGCATTTATCTTGATGTTTTATTATTGCTTTATAGTTGAGTTGATTATGTTTATGTGTATTTTCAGTTTCTGAATATGAAGGCTACAGTTCAAAACCAAACTCAAGCCCAAGTTTGCAGAGGAAAGATGATATTAATGTTTTAGATGTGACGGATTCACCACAAGCTAAATTAATTGATAGTGAAAGATCCAGCATAAAAAATGGTGATCTTGTTTCAGATAGTCAAAAGGAAATATTCTCTGATCTTCAGCATTTTGTGGAAGCAACATTGATTGCAGTAAGTTCTGATTGTGATAAAACTGATCAGTGTGGTATTGAACCCGATTTAAGTGATAGTAGTAATAGTCCAGACATTTTAGCTAGGAACCAGCCATGCTCTTCTGAAAGTATAGCTGTAGAGGAAAATGGTACCAGCACTGGTTCTGTTAATGTCTATGATGAAGATGGGGTGAGAACTGGATCAGTCAGTGATTTGGAAACCGGCAGCAATGTTGTTGATCTTGATAGTTCTAGGTTTAAAACCAGAAATGAAATTAAAGGGGAGAATGGAGTAGTCGAAGGCGGTGATTTAATGATAACTAACATAAAATCTGATACAAGAAGCAACAATATGTTAACCAATGAAAACAAGACTTCCTCTGACTTAAGCAATTTAAATGATGCAGATTTACTAGAAAACGTTGATTCAAAGTCAGTCATGTATGGTAATAGCAAACCTAGCGCGAGTCTAGATTCTCTTCCTGTAGAAAATAATGTCAAGAATGACTACAAAAGTAAAAGAAAGAGAGCTGCAGATATGAATATTTGTATGACAAGAAGTCAAATGAAAGGTAGGATGAGATTAAAGGAGAAAAAACTGGATACAAGAAAAAAATGACATTTTTTTCAGAAAACAGTACCCAAAAAAAGAAGAAAAATTTAAAGGGGTGGGTTTTTTCATTGTAAGGAATGCAAATTAAACATTTTAGGTTTCTTGGAGTTAAAATAAAATACCAGAAAAGAGGGGAAATGTTTTTTTAAATTTGTGAGTTTTTGGGGAAAAAACTTTCCCACGTCGGGGTATTACCCCAATTATCGGGGTCTCATTTTTGGAAATATCATTTTTAAGGAAAACCAAAAGTGAAACTGTTGTGGTAAACTTAATAGAAGCGCAGACATTGAAGATTCACATGAGGAAACATTCGGGTGACCGTCCGTACGTCTGTCATCACTGTGGACTTCAGTTTTATTCCTCATCAAATCTTTTAAGTCATAGGAACAGTGCTCACAGTGATTTCCGTGAATTTCACAAATGTGATATATGTGATGCGAGACTAAGCACTTTGGGTAATTTAAGGGTACACAAAAAAATAGTCCATGCTGTTGAAAGACCATTTACTTGTGAAATATGCGGTAAATCTTTTAAAACACAGAAATCCCTAGAGCAAGTTCATGCCAAGGTTCATTCAGAGGATTTCCCGTATAAATGTGAATTTACAGAATGTGGGAAAATGTTTAAACGTTCAGAAGGTTTAGCGGATCATATGAGGAGACATAATAATGATAGAAACCATTTCTGTGAAAAATGTGGCAAAGGATTTTATTCCAATAAAGAGTTAACGTTGCATACAAGAACACACACAGGAGAAAAACCTTATATGTGTCAGTTATGTGATTATAAATGTGCACTTGCAGGAAACCTTCGTAAACACATGAAAACCCATTCTCAGTAAATAAATAAATTTATTACACAATCTTTCATTTTACTTATCATCATTATCTCAGTCAATTAAACTTAAAAGTTTTTCTTGATTGGCACTTTAAATACATAATAAATGTTGAAGTACATATTAATGGACAATTTTGTCAGTAAATGATTTTTAGCTTGACTATACAAAGTATATGGAGAGCTGTCCTACTAGCCCCGGTGTCCACGTCCTGATTTCAGATTAAAGTTTTGGTGCAGTAAAAGATTTTCACTATAATTTTTTCATTTCTTAAAGCATCAACTTCAAACTTCAATATATGTTCCTATCAACCACATCTTATGTGACAAGGCTCATAACTCAAGCACCAATATTTTCAGATTTATCTCCCCTTGAACTTAAAATATTTTTTACTGTTGCTTCTTTATTTTTAAAGGATCAACTTAATACTTGAAATATATGTTCCTTATTATTAACCACATCTTATGTTACAAGGTTCATAATGCTAGCACCAATATTGCAAGAATTATCTCCCATTCACTTACATTTTTTTTTACCTAAAAATGTTATTTGTTACTATTTTTTTTTTAGTTTTAAAGGTATCTACCTCAAACTTCAAATACATATTCCTATCATCAACCACATCTTATGTGACAAGGTTCATAACTCTTGAAGCAATATTTTTAGATATATCTCCCTTTGAACTTAGAATTTTCTTTAAGAAATGTTATAACTTCTTTACTTTTTAAGGTATCTACTTTAAACTTATATATTATATCTTTTCATTACACACATTTTGTGTGACAAGGTCCATAACTTCAGTGTGATTTTTTCCCAGAATTATTCTCCCTTGAACTTGGAATTTATGTTAACAACTATAACTTCTTGTCATAAGAAGATATATATTTATATCATAATTGAGTTTTCTTTCATAGTTTTGTCTTCCTTACTGCATCCAGTATTTAATTAGTCGAGTTTCGACTGTGACAGCTCTTGTTACTTTTAAAATTTCTCTTCTTTTAACACTAATGCAATTTCTTGATCGGTAGCTGAAGTACTTGCGCATATTACACAAGTTTCTGGGTTGAATGATTTTTGGCAGAGTTATTGCCCTTGAGTAAAAAAATGTGTTTTGCCCTGTAAATGATTTTTGTGTCTCCTGCTACTTGGTAGCTGCAGCATGTAATTGCCTATCATGAGGCGACACATGTGATCACTGATCACTCTGTTCTTTGTAGTGTTATGCTAGCGTTCTTATAACATTTGGCCATGTTGACAATATAGTGGTTTGATAGCTAATTTACAACTCTGCAATTTATGTAAGTAAAATCATGAAATTTAAGCAATGGATTAGTGATTGAAAGCCATGTGGCCCTTTTTGGATTTAAAATTGTTGGGTGTTTGTGGCTGAGTGATTACGGTCATTGACTTCAAACAACTTGTCCTTCACTGTTCTGGGTTCAAATCCTGATAGAGACTTTGGATTCTTTTATGTGAGGTAGCTATCCATCTACATGTAGCCTAAGAAACAGCCTTGGCTCTACTTGGGTGCCCATTCTTTACCACTTGTCCTTTAGAAAGGCCCAGGCTAAATGACATGAGAAAAAACAAACAAAACTGTCACAGGCAACATTTTTCTTTAATCTTTAAATATACATGATAACAACAAAGGATTTCTGTATCTTAAAAATATTTCATCAAATAAAACAATAATCGTTAAGCTACATTTAAACAAAAAATAAATGTTACATGTACAAGGTATACCAGTTACAGAATAAAAAGCAATATAGAGAAGTAGGATCAAGCTTTTATGCCATCTGAATTAACATGTTGAAAAACATCGAACAATCTCAAACCAGTTATCCTTCCTTAGTCTCTAGTCAGAGTTATCCTTCCTTAATATGTAGTTATCATCTCCTAATTTCATTATTTAAGAATTCATTAATTTCATTAATAAAGTAACCATTAAATTCATTAATAAAGATTCTATTCCTTTCATTAATAAAGAAACTAGTAACTTTTATTTATAAAGTAACCATTAATTTTTATTATTACAGTAACAATGAAATTCCAATAATTTTCATTTATAAAGTAACCATTAATTTTCGTTAATAAAGAAACCATTAATTTTCCCTTATAAAGCAACCATTAAATTCACCTAATAGGGCTTACAAATATTCATTGTTGTAATACTAAAATTGTTCTGTTTCAAAATGAAATTTAGTTAAGATGTTTCTTTAAAGATCAGTAAAATTTCAATCATGTCCATAAATTGATGAAACTAACCTGAGCAAATAAAAATAAAGGGAAATAATCCAAATGCGTATATTCTTCACATGAAAATAAAGATAAAGTGATATATTACTTACAGCAGTATCCTATGACTTGGTGAATGAATTACAAAATGTCCTATGCTAATTGCTAAAGAAAATAACGGGGAAAAAATCATAAATGAAAATTGCACGAAGTTATAAAATTGCTGAAAGTTTTGAAATCTCAAAGTTTTTACATGTACTAGTTTGTCAATAAAACATCGCTATGTCATACTCATTTATGAAATTAAAAACAGACAAAAGTAAAAAAAAATTCTGTTAGTATAAAACCAATTGCTTAATGTTGTATATTTTCTATCTCATTACTAATGAAACATGATTACAAAAAATGAAAGAAAAAAAAATCCCAATTTTTCTAGTTAAAAAATAATTGTAATATTGTAATTAATAATTGTAAATCAAATCATCCTACATCTGAACTTCAGCTTAGATCTCCAGCTATCATTATTTCATTACTTTTTTTCGAAAACAGTTAATAACAACAACTTTGACAAAAAAAGCAGAAAGAGTACTAAACTAAAATGTCATGCTCTAAAGTAAGTATTCTTCAATACAATGATTTTAATCATACCTAAACTGTCCAAAAGTTAATTATTAAACCCAAAGAGTAAAATGTAAATGTGAAATATAAACATTCTTAGAACAGGGTATTTTCTCAAAGGAACAAGCAAAAATATAACTACACATAAAACTATATAATTTATATCTGACACTTTCAGTCCATTTGTTATAGAGATAAAACAGCAACTTGACAATTCTTTGTTGAGGAATTTAAAAATCTGATATACAAATAGATCTTGCAAATCAAATTGATTGGCATAGAGTGATGTTCTAAAATATGAAAAGGTTGTTTAAGCCTGTTATCATGAACTGTAGTAGCGGTACAATATGGAAATTAACTTCTTTATTTGTGTGACCTATTTCTTTCTGCTCATTTTATAAATATATCCAAACCAAAAATATCATTTTTAGCAAACCAAGAAGAAAAATTTAACAATTTCCAACTGAGAACTGTTTAAATACCCTAAATCTTCTGGTAACAAAAATGATTAATTAGCCTTTGTCATCAGTAGGAAGCCAGGTCAGCCTGTACATCAAATGATCAATGCAGTCTGAACAGGCTCTATACTGTTGGTATTACAATTTTCTTTGTAATTTGATACTGAAATTCCTGAAACATCAAACAGATTGTTCCATATTCGAAGAGGGGGAAGTCCGTGAAAGAAATTCAGCAGGTGGTTTAACCAAAGATTTTTAAAGATACAAAATGCCAAGTTACCACTTTATATCTATACACCATTCTACAAAAAAATCACATATAAACAACAAAAACTGTTAATTTAGCCCTGTGATTACATGAGGTAGTATTTAAGCTTTGCATATAAAAATTTACACCATTTTAACACAATATTAGTAGACCAGACTCTTCTTATAATCAAGAAAATAACCAGCCTCCATTTATACCACTGAACATTACATCTCTTAACTTCTCAAGAGAAAATAGATAAAAGATAAATGAAGCAAAGATCCTACTCAAATCAAACTTGTAAAAAATGCGCCAAAAAGTTTGCAAGTTGCCCAAATTCTGATTTACTTTAAACTAAATATCAAAGGGCTATAACTCTGCCTGCCAAAAACAAAAAAGCAAAATATATGCATCTTTAGTTCTGATAACTTGGATTCACCATTAAATACCATTCTGGTAAAAAAAACAATGAAGAAAATCCCTTGTTTATCAACTGGATCTAAAACAATCCAAAATCTAATCAAAAATAAAAGAAAAATCTATTCTATAGAAGCAGAGCGAGGCTTGTATTTATTACAAATCTAAGCATGACATAACCCAATCTCCTACACAGTGATCTCCCCTTATCAGTACAGAGATCTCTGCCACCACACACATGTTTAACAATATTTTGTTAAGAATATTTGTTAGCTTTTGAATTTATTTTTCATCATTTTGTATACATTTGATAATATTTTGATAAACTATTATAAACATAGGTACTGAAAATTAAAAATAAAACAGAAAGAGAAAAATAATGTTAGATTTTCTATGTAACAGTCGATATTTACATTTGAGTTTCGATGTGATATCATGTGACTTTCATCATTATGTGACATTTGTGAAGGCAGTAATTACGGTCTGCCAAGGGAGGTTATCACTGTAAGGAGTTTGGACATAACCTGATATTGCAACATAGTAAGATACAGTAGGAAAAAAAGGCGAAAAGCTTATGTATATTTTTAAAGCATACATTACTGATAATTCAGACCAGTGCTGTGTTAATAACCATAACATTAAATGCCATATTTCACTAATAGAAGACAAACATCCAATAATATCACCAATATAACATCATCTTATAGTGGGGAGGGGGCTCAGTGCGAAATAATTTTTAATTTTCCAAACCTTATGGAAAATGTTTTGAAAGTTATATATAATGAACCCACTATTCCTCTTTTACACCAGATCTTCACCGATTCTGCTGAAGATTGAATGGTGCATTAGACGAAAAAAATCACATAAAAACAACACAACAACATAACATTGATACCTTACATATATAAAGAATATAAATAATGCAATATGTACAAAATATTTACACAATTATGTACAGGCATAAACAAATAACATTGAAATCTCTAATTTATACAAAGACGGCTTTACATTCTTAATGTATCGGAAAAGCTGTTACGATATACCATAAAAAAATTACACATACATGTATATATACATACAAATGAAAGTAAATGCACTGATATAGTAATAAATAAATACTTCATAAAACAACAATTATTAGTAATATACTAAACAATATAAAAAAACAATGTTCATGAAATATGAGAATTACAACAAAGCTTTCAAGATTATGTTATTGCTAATACGGAAAAAAAACATGAAATAATATTTTGTGGATCCAAAATAAAATGAACAAAAACATTATTATGTAAAAGAAACCCACAAAAAATAGTTTCCATACCATTGTGTTTTAGCAATTTAGCTTATTACATTGAAAGATATCTGTGACAAAAAAAATGTAATGTAGTTACATGTATAGTTTTTTTTGTGGGAAGAAATATGAATGAAAAAGTGCCCTAAAACACATTGTAATCTTTCTTTAAAGCAACTCATGGTTGATATCTCATAACATTGTTATTTATTTCTGCCATTTTTTCCCCGCCTCATATATAAAATTTAAACCGATATAAAAACTCTTCACACTTCACAGACACTTAGTGAACACTAGAAAGGTAAAATTGAAACAAGAGGTAAAATAAATGTTCATGTGGACACAGAGATTGATGATTTTTATATACACATGAAAATATGAACAACACAGCACAAGATATCTTTAAAGTTTCAACACATGATTCCACTCATTAAGAAGACCTATTGCAGAAATTAGCCATATTTGGCCATTGGGTAAAAAACAAGAAGTAAATTTTAACCGAAAAAAAAAAAAAAGTTTCAAGAGCTATTAAGACCGCATATCAAACTCTTGTCTAAAATTTAGGACCTTGACAGTAAACATTATGCTTCAAAATATAAAAAAAAACATTACCACAGCTAAACTGTAATATTCTGATATAACTCAAAATGTGTAGTATAGTTGAAACCGTTTGTTGAAGATCGTGATTTACTGTATGCCATTTTCACTTTGTTTGCAGATCTAAATCAGCATTAAGACAGGAAACAACAATTTACTATCAGCAGACAACAAATGGTTTACTCTTTTAAAAAAAACAACAACAACATCCCACTTTCTAGTCAGTAGATCACAAATGTTTGGTTGATGCATTACAACACTATTGGTTGATGCATTACAACACTATTACAGTCAGCAGACGTCAAAAGCCCGGAAGGTACAAACAACATTATTCGTTAAGCAGACAATAAAAGTGATTTGGTTTTTCAGCCAACACCAACAATTTCGGTCAGCAAAATGTCAAAACGTTTTCAGCATATGCGATAACTCTGTCACATCAAGTGACAACAACAAATTTGGATGTTGCAGATGACACTGTCATATCGTTTCTGTACAATGGATTGGCATCATGTGTGAAGCAGACGGGACTGTATTGATGGCAGTGATACGATATGAACACATGGAATTCTTCATCTCTCTGTGCGATTCAAATGGGACAAAAATAAGTGCTTGTATACTGAAAAGAAACAAAGAATAGGTGAATTGTTTTATAGTTACACTACATATCATATTCGTTTTTTATCCAAATTTTCCTAAGGATAAATCTAGGTGTAAGATTGGTGCATGTTGGCAGACGGGCAGGAACAACAAATTTCATGTGTCCTAAATTTTGCACGGCATTTAAAATAAACTGTGAAAGAACTACTGACATTAAGTGCCCTGGCAAATAATTGTAAGGATCATTTTTGGCAAAATCCTGGGCCCCTTTTTTTCTCCTACATTTCTCAGAGGATTTTAATCAAACCCTCACAAAACTATTTTCATCTTTTATCCAAGGGCAAATTGTTGTGTCCTGTGTGATTCACTTATTATTGTCTGGGAACATTCATCTTTTAAGGGCAGTGACACTCAATAACAAATTTAGACACAATTTAAATACAAGTTAAAAAGGGGCATAACTCCAGACAATATAACTTTCAGAATAATGTCCCTTGTCTTAGAACACTGCACCACACTATGAAAAGAAAGTATTCCAAGTTGGGTGTTGATACCTATCAGAACATTGACACAATGGGTTACTTCTAAGTAGTTGCTTGACTTTTTCTTTAAAACTGATAAGCTAAACGTTATTCAAATACCATTGTTTATTGCCAAAAAATAAATTAAATAAATAAAATTTTGACTTATTTTAGAAGACAATCAGTTCCATTTGATAAAATTTGAACTTGTTTCATACATCATACCATAAGTTGTCATCTTAGTGAAGTAACTGGTTAACTCGGACTTATATAATTTAATAAGAGTTAGCCAGGTATTCCACTAAGATGATAATGTATAACAATATGACATATATAATTGACTATTTATGACTTTAATAAAGAATAACATTGCGACATGTTTATAATTGACTAGTTATGCCTTTAATAAAGAATACTTAGTATACTTACAATGCTGGCATGAAGAGCCATAATGTGTTGGGGGACATTTACATTTGCCTTTACGACATTGTCCACCATTTAAACATGAAGATTTACACTGTACTCTGTGCTTCTTCTCTGAACAATTTTTACCAGTGTATGGGTGTATACATTCACACTGTCCAGGACTAACACATTTTGCACGAGACCCACATCCATCGGGACAAACAGCTGAAATAAAATAATACCAATAAGCAATCAAACACATATACCAAGTAAACTAGAGGCTCATAGGGAAGACAGGGCCTGCCTAACTGTGTTGCCTCTTTAAATAAAGTTGTTATTATTATCATTTTTATTATTATTTTTACCTTAAACTTTCAGGGCTACAATTAAATTTGTATAAATGACAATGCCTCATCACCGTAGAGCATTGTTTCATTGAAAAACTTTAAATTCTGAACCATAAAAGTTTTGGATGTATAAACAATGGAATATACCATAAATTATAAAAGACTGAAACAAACTTACCATTTTGACACATGGCCCCTTTATAGCCTACCGGACACATACAGACATTATAACCCACACACTGGCCCCCATTTTCACAGCCCAAAGAGCAATGAGGTTTACCAGATCTTGATATTTCTGAAATGAAAATAGAAAAAAATACTGGCATGAAATATATATTCAATTTTTATTGAAAATGTAAATAAGAAATTTAGTAAAAGAAAGTTAGTTTATAAATATCTATTTAGGACTGAATACACAAACAAGTTCTTGCAACTTCCTGTCTGCTTCGGTTCACCTTTAGAAGTAATAGAAGTATCTAAGTATTATTTAGATCCATTATACGTCTTTTCAATTTTACTTTTCAACTGATCAATAAATATTATTTTGAGTCTGTTTTGCTTTTCTACAAAATGTAACATAAATATCCACTAATATACAAATATAGAAACATTTTCTTTCATAATCACGTCAAGGCAATCCCTTTTCAGGTTGAATGTATTTTTTAATAATATTTAAACTAAACTTCAAAAGACCATCAGATTGATTTAATTATCTAATTGATGAGTTAAGTTAACCAAAAATTTCTTATGAATTATAAAGCTTATTGAGTATGAATTTGTTATTTATTCAGGAGTGTTTCAAGTTAAATATTTACAAAAGGAACAATTACTCTTATGGTTATATAATGAGAGAACCTACTAAACAGAACAAATATATCTTCATGCACATCTAAAGCGAAAAGAATATGTCAATAAATTGAAAATCACTGCATGATAAATCAAAATTTTAATGTTGTTTCAGACACCCTTGCAGGTGACTGATTACTGCTACAACTAATCTCTATATAATCATCCTACGCCAAAAAAGTAGTTCTCATTAAACCACAAAGAGGTACTATTGTTCTGCTGGTTTTTGAAGTTAAAGATTTTATGACAACATTATGAATAAACAAGTTCTATTATACATATAAAGTGTTTTCCTTTTCAATTAACTTTTCCTCTTATGATAATGATTACGATCTGTAAAAATTATCTGAAAATTACCAAAATATGACTTGCCTAGTATCGTAATTTGAATAATTTAAAATAATCTTTTCTATTCATATTTAAATGTGAAACAGATTTGATTACATCCTTTTTTAAAGGTAATTTCTCTTTCAAGTCCATATCTATAAACTTGTAAATACATGCATGTATGCCATAAATGATACAAGCCTTATACATTATAGATTGATTCATCAAGCTATTTATAGATCAAAATTCCTGTAGATTACCATTTTTCATTTTACGCCTCCTCTTATGTTTTTTACAGCACAGAACGCCAGATGTAATGCCCTCTTGATATGCGCAGCTCTTGTCTCTAGGAACTTTATCCCTCGACCGGTACACGTCAATACGACCATGAGATAAACACGATGGTCTAGTATATACAACCTTTCTACAATCACGACCAATACCAGCAAGACGTCCTTTCCCAGAATGACACCTGAAATTTAAGAAATTTATTTTATAAGTTATCACTGCTTTAGAACATATGAAATATTTGTTGTCAATATTGGATTAATTTATATTTAGTGAAGCTACATTGTTAAAGGCCACTCCATTTCATTTGTCCTAGTCATCACACAAGAATACTTTTTATTCCTCTGATTAAAATAAAAGAAACTTCAATTTACATTGATTTGTAGAAAAGTTTGTTGTTTTTTCACCCTTCAATTCATTTCAAACAAACCAACCCTATAAACATACTTGTCAAAAGCTTGGGGTCATATAACTTCAATCAAAGATTTTTAAGGATAGTCAAAACATTAAATTATGTGAAGCAATTGTAATTATTTTGGTGGTAGTTGAATGCAAGATCATTAACAACTACCTTCTGCATTTCCCACTTTTATCATTTGCAACATTATATGCATAACATCCTTTTATGTCAAGAATATCCAGCCAGCTGAGGTCCTCCAGTCTATGGGAGTCATGGCTACTACACACCCTCCAGCCACGTCCACATAATGTGCTTCCATGCTTAACATGACCTTTCCAACGACCTGAATTATAACAAAAAAAATCATTCTAAAACTAGAATTTCAGCAGTCGTATTTTAACACTACCATGCCAAATATATGAAATAGACTTACCCTCTATTATTTCTTAAAGGGGTTTCAGTATCAAAAGGCTAAAAATTAGTTTAGATTCTATATATAATTTTTTTTAGCTCGTTATGAAAGCTTGAAGCTTTTTTAAACCACTGGCAACAACACTTCCTAGATTTACCACCCAGTGCTGGTGTCTTTTGAGGAAACATGGTCATGACCCCAGTGACTTAGGGTTCAAACCCATTACCCCTAGCTGGGCTAACAGACAGACACATTAACCACCAGGTCATCTCTTCCTTAAGTTAAAATTGAGTAACCAGTAATTGAAATTGGACAAGTGGTAAAGGCATCACATTAGTATCACAAATATTCAAAGTATTAATAGATTTCTGGAATATGGACAATACTATTTATCAGTATAAGGGAAATTTTCAAAATAAGTACCGACTGAATAGCAAACATTGCAGACCATGATCAGACGGCACATATCTACAGTCTGATCTTGGTCTGTATGGGTAGATTCAGTTGCTACCAGCTGGCTAAGTGGTTATGAGAGGTTCATAAAGAATAATTTGTGGAGTTTGTGTTATGAGAGGTTCATAAAGAATAATTTGTGGAGTTTGTGTTATGAGAGGTTCATAAAGACTAATTTGTGGAGTTTGTGTTATGAGAGGTTCATAAAGACTAATTTGTGGAGTTTGTGTTATGAGAGGTTCATAAAGACTAATTTGTGGAGTTTGTGTTATGAGAGGTTCATAAAGACTAATTTGTGGAGTTTGTGTTATGAGAGGTTCATAAAGACTAATTTGTGAAGTAAGTGTTATGAGAGGTTCATAAAGACTAATTTGTGGAGTTTGTGTTATGAGAGGTTCATAAAGACTAATTTGTGGAGTTTGTGTTATGAGAGGTTCATAAAGACTAATTTGTGGAGTTTGTTGTATCATTAAACTACAAAGAAAACACACTTATAGCAATATTAGAATTTCTTCAGTACTTTTTAACAGCATGAAATTATTCTTGCATAAATTTTTTTAACGAAATTTTAATAATGATAGATTTTTCTAAACTAATATTTAAAAAGGTTCTATTTTTTTTTAACCTTGTATATGCATAAGTATTGAAAAATCATTTCAAAA